TATGTTGCACGATATGACAGCAGATTGACAGTGCATTCCAGGATTTTCTCATTGTTGCAGCGGCGTCGTCAGTACTGGCGTTCACACTGTAGCAGACGTGTAAAATAGGCCATGTTCACAAAGGCAGACCTTCATGCTCAGCTCTGAATGGCTGCTCATGTCTTGACTTTTTTTGGGATGGTTTCCTTCATATCTATTCTGGGATGTAGCCAATATCTGACACCGATGTGAACCGACAGCCATGTTGAAAAGAATGTGTGAAGAGCGAGAGAAACAATAGATGTCACATATCCGCAGCTTGTTTTGAAAACATCTTGGGTTTGATGTCTACCCTCTATTTTTTGACTTGAATTGAGGCTTCTCCCCCAAATATCAGTCAAGCCGTCAATTACACTTTCTTTTATTTTGTTGTTTTTAAAAACTTTGATTCTGGCTTAATCAATCTGCCATAGTGGAAACACTAGTCGATATGTTGTGATGTACTGAATGATGGCCAAATACGAAATATGACGTGAATTAAAAATAAATCGAATGAATGCTGTGAGCTTTATATTTAGGCTATAGCATTGACTGTATATAGGAAGTGGAAGTAGCCACCATAATGTCACTTATTGCTGTGTTGAGTGATGTTTTGTAGCCTTTAGTTTTGGCATTTTGGCAGTCGCCATTTTGATTTTTTTGGAACCAGAAGTGACCACCGCACAGTGGCCACGCTGTGCTAGCTTAACACCACGGTAGCGACGCTGTGCTAGCTTAACACCACGGTAGCGACGCTGTGCTAGCTTAACACCACGGTAGCGACTGAGACCATGAACTCAACTGTCAACAATGTTTACTGAGGTAATAAATCAACTGAAAAGTAGGCGCATTTTGCAAATATACTTCTATACAACCAGAGGAGTTGTCCCCTGATGGCTATTAGAAAGAATGCAACTTTTTAAGGCACTTCTGCGTTGGCTTCACCTTTCAGACCCGGCGGTTGTCTTTGGCCTTTAGCGAGGTCCGTTATCGGCCTTCTTGTTATAACACCGTCTATAGAGCTTTTCTTCCATGGTATCATTTAAAAAAGGTTTTCTGATCATTTCTGTTTTTATCAGCAGCCACAACACAATATCCAGCATAACTGTGAGATTCTGTAAAAAAAAATGTTTGCCTCCACAGACCACAGTGAAGAATGAAAGTGATGAGTGCTGTGTTTGTCAGTCCCAGCCCTCACCAGTGGTCTTCCACACAGAGCCTCTTCCCTGTGAACCCGGGAGGAGAGCTCTACGGGCTGCCTGTCAGCTGTCCCATGGTGCTTGGAGAGGGCTCATGGTCTTTTTTAATTCCCAGCCAATCTTCTGTCCATCACAGCACTTCATCCCTACTTTAGAGCTCAGCTCAGGTCCACACACTGTCACTTTCTGACATATCTCGCAGCCTACACCTCCACAATACCAGAAAATATTGTCAGTTCTTCCCCGCCCCCAACTCACTTTCAATATGAACATCAAATCATATTCTCCAACTGCATGTAGGAACAGAGCCTCCTGCCTATACCTCCCCACACCAATCCACTCCATATATTACTCTTTTTTTTTAGCAGTGTGTGTGTGTGTGTGTATGTGAGAGCTTCGGGTTTAGTTTTTGACAGATCACCCCACGCTTATCAGGTGACCTAAGCACTTTCTTGGGATTGTTGCACATGTTGATAATAATGAGCGGGGGTTTGGATTCCGAGCAGCACAACATGCACAGCCCAGCAAAGGTAAAGAAGCCACTGTTTCTTCTGCTGCCATTCTCAGGAAATTCTATGAATAAAGGATTAGCTTCAAGCTGTGAGTCAAGCTCTGGTTCCCCCAGTTGCTTTACATATTTAAGGCCAAATTTTGCACCGGCAGAACAGGCGGCTTAAAGTCAAAGGAGATTGTGCAGCAGTTCTGTAAAGTGGGAGTGAGTCTTGGACGAGTATATTTAAGTACAGTGAGTTCCTGAAATTCAAAACGTACACGCATTATCAGGTTTGTCAGAGTTTATCTTTGACCTTCCTCCTTTTTGTAACTGAGAATGTTAAGTTGTACTCTTAAAAAAAAAGAAAAGAAGAGCCTCATATGTCCCTCCATGTTAGACATATTTACAGTAAATCAATTTCTTTATGACACAGAGATGATGAGCTGAGATCAGAAAGCTTCCGGTGAGCTCTGAGGAAAGTCATATCGCTGCTGATTTAATCTCCCAAGACTAATGCTAGGGATAAACTGCCTAATCCATCATATATTTAATTGCCTCGACCAGGATCTTTGCTACTGATATCAACTTTATGAGCGTATGTACATAACTTCTACCTCTCTAAATACCGGGTGATATTATGAGACTGTAGAAATGCCTTTTTGGTAAGATGGTTTTATTGTGACAAGTTATCCTGTTTCCTTGAATGTGTTTTGTAGCTGTTGTAACACTGGCTGTATTAGTAGGCCTACAGACTATAGGTGTATTAAGAGTGATCCGACTCTTGTATCCCAGTGACCTGGTGCGAGTCATTCTGATCTCACTCTAAGCACGCCACGTTTAAGGAGATTTTGCGTGTCATGCCTACACCTTTTAATCATTTCGCGTGTCCAGCGGCAAATACAGACGCACTGTCGCAGGTTTAAACATGTGGGTAACTTTGTGATTTCAAACAAAACAATTTGAAAAGATCATGGTTTTGGAGTCAGCATAAGAACAGTTCTTACGTGAATTAAGTTAATTACGTAAGCTAAGTAGTCAACGATAACACATCATATACTGAGGCAGGGGCGCAAATTTCAAACAAATCTACTTGGTAAGGTTGTGTTCAAATAAAGATCATGATTTCGTTTAAAATGACGACAGTTGATAAGTAAATTAAGTTAGGTACAATATGTAAGTTAAGTAAGCTGTATAAAATGTTGCATACGGACGCACCGTCGCTGTGTTAAACACATGGTTTACTTTGTGAAGTCAAACAAAACTACTTGGTAAGGTTTAGGGGAGGTTATAGTTTGGGTTAAATGGATCTTTCTTACGTAAATTAAGTTACGTATGTAAGCTAAATACTCATTAAAACGTCACATACTTACGCAAGGGTGCAGTTTCTAAACATGTGGTCAACGTTGTGGATTTAAACAAATCTACTTGGTAAGGTTAAAGAAAAGATCATGTTTTGGGTTTGTTAATAAATTAAGCAACAGTTGACTTTTTGTTTTACGCCAAATCCATCCAGCCCGACCTTCTTCTTCAGCAGGACTTTCTTGCTCTTTATAGTACGCCATCTGAATTCCAGAGCACCTGCTCTGAACGTCTTATAATGGCGGCATGTAATGTCACGCAAAACACACAAAATTACTTATTGATTATGTTATTGACACGTAATTACACGCGATTTGGTGATGCCAGGCTGTCCAAGATCCTGGCTGCAGATACTGTAGGAATTAAGTTTAATTAAATCCTAAATTGGTTTCATGTCCGGTCCTGAGAATGGTCACAACACCTGATTAATTATCGGAATGATTAAAGATCTGGCTATTAGAGAATTCAATTTAGATCAGCTGTCACTTTGAGATGGTCCGCAGTTGTTTGTCCCGCGTGGCTGATGTGAAAAGATCTTGTATTAGCTGTTTCAATCTTCAAATATAATTGTTGTAATATTTGACATGTGGCTAAATGTTGTTTAACCACAACAGAAATATAACTGAACTTCTCTGCAGAACATTTTCAGCAGATTATATTGCTGTCCACATCTGACCAGCACCTTTCATCCATTATGTTTCAGCGTGTAGGCGAACATGTTGACCAGTTTCACAATATCATGAACCACATTCAGAGCCACCAGAGCTGGATGAAAAGGAGGGATGTCCTTCAGCAGTCTTTTCACCGGTATTTACTTAGAGGAGCGAACAAGATCATTTCTCTCTGCAGGGCACCAGGATCAGCTGGTGATGTTACTGTTGTAGTATAGTCATGGAGGCAAATCGGGATGTGTTGGTTGTTGCATTTTATTACTAATATTATATCATGTGGGATCATATCACTGTGGGAACTGACTTTTACTGCAACCGGTAATAACAATGGAAGAAAAGAGAAGCAACAGGAAACAAATGAAAAAGGGAGCGAGTTGTGTGAGGTCAGTCTTTGTCTGCGGAGAATCAGAACCAAACATAAACTGAAGGTCTGTAATGTAGTCTTGCGTGTGACAGTTTAAGAACCCATATTGAAATATGTTCCCTGTTTTGGAATGAAATAAAGATTGATGAGGCACAGCTGTGGTAACTAACTATTACTTATATGCATCCCTATTCAAGTGAAGGGCATCATTCGCCACAGTATTTACCAGGTATGTTTTCAGGCCAGCAGTTTCACCTCATGTGGGATTTCTTTTAATGTATTTGTGACTGGTGAATAAACATAAGTCTCACATTCCAATGTTTTGCAAATCTTTCCTTGGTCCTGAGGGAAAACGCTGCCTCTTCCTTTTCTTACACTAGTGCTACCTGTTTCAGTCCCAAAGGATAAGAATCCCTCAGTGTACTTACTCACAATTTGACGTGATTCTCCACTGCACGCTCTGTAGCACAGCAGAAATCTCCTGAGACCAATCCCGCAAAGAACAGGTCTGCTACCTCTCAGCAAGGTGTGTGAATCACACGAGCTAAAACACATCCGCTGATTAAAGGGTTTCAATGTGAAGGATTTATTGAGTCTTCTTGCCATCTCACAGAGATATCGTCTTATATTAATACAATGGTATTACATTACTGAAGTAAAAGATTGCAAGTTCAGTTAAAGAAGCAGATTAATCAGAAATGAAAGTGGGAAAAAAAATCAGAAATACTAGCTTCAAACACCATGAAATATTCCAGCAAAAATAAAGATATATAGTTAATAGCATTAAACAGGAAATTGTAAAAAGGATTTCATTTTCTAGGAAACAGGAAGTCATATATATATATATATATATATATATATATATATATATAATCTCTTGCTGTTCCAGTGTGGTTACCGTTGTAACGCATGGTCTACATTGTGAAATGGTTTCGGTTAACATTGCAACAAGTGATTAACTTTTTGTAAAACAGTCTACGGTTAACATTGTAATACATGGTTAATGTTGTGGTTTAAGTACAACTTTACAAAACATGGTTGACATTGTGAAACAGTGTAACATTTAGGTAACGTTGTTAAACGGTCGCAGATAGGTTAAGGCAACAAAAGCACTTGGTTAGGGTTAGAAAAGAGAGGGTTTAGGTTAAAATAAGTTTGTCTTGTTACATAACTTAAGCTACAGACATAAAGTCACATGACATGAAGTTGTTCAGTAAAAATAACTTGTTTGACCCATCCACCTCCCTCCCTCCCACACTTAGCGTACTTTCTCGCTCTTCAAACTACACCCGTTGCTCTGTGGATGGGTTTACACTGCATTAGGTGAAAGCCCAATGCGTCTCATACAGACGCTTACGGGGGCCTTGTGTGTCACTATCGAGACACAGAGGGCCACTGGCCAAGCGTCGGTATTTGAAGCCTTGGGGATGAGACCAGGCTGTTACAACATCATAAAAAGGCAATTAAAATGAAATCTGCACGAAGCAAACCATATCTGAAATCTAAAATATTACAGTAGCACGTCTTTACATTTCATCACAACACAAACAACACCTTCTCTCTCATTCCTTTCATCAATCAGTTGCGTGTTGTATGAAGGTGACAACTAATTGAAAGCTTGTCTCCTACAAATGATCGTCCTCTTCTGCATCAGGGAAATACACCGTGGATCAAATGTAGTACTGTTGTAATGCATATTACGTTCTTCATCATATCAGAAAATGCAACATAATGACTTCCAAAGATGTCCTGCTGATGTTGCAACTAGGTGAGATGCAGTTTCACTTGTCAGTATTCTGAATGTATTCACTTGGTTTTGGTGGATGCTAACGTTAGCATGTTCGGGAAAACACTTTTATACTTCTCTTTCAGGTTTGGGGGTGTGATACATTTATATGGTAGCTGTTTTTAGTTTTTCCCTTTTTACTCCTTTGCTCCCCACTAAGTTACACAAAATACAATTTCACAAATAAAACAGCACAGTAAATAACATATCTATGCTTGATAAGCCTGGCCTTTTGCTCAAACAATAACAATCTGTGAACAATTTGAAGAATATAAACTTGATAAGGCAAAGCAGCTCTGTAAAGAATTCATCTTATCTGGGTTTGCATCTGTTTCCAATATACGATCCATTTAAGCCGCAACTCCAAGTGTTTCTTGAAACATGCTCAAAAAGCAGCGTGGGATTAGCCAGTGTGTCCTCGCATAAAATCAACACTCGAGACGCCTGTCCCAAAATGAACCGAGGCAGAGATTAAAGTGTAGATTAAGAATGTGTTATGAAGGACTCTGTGACAGCTGTGGTGACCGGTAAGAAACTGGTAGAAATAATTTACAAAAATAATTGCACACAGATAATTATGAGATACATGAGATACACCGAAGGATGGACCGTTGTTGGTTGTTAGTTGGCTAGCTTAAGGCTCTTCTTACCAACATGCACAGAGCATTGAGCGCATGCACCATTTCTTGTGGATAATTATACATCTTGTACCACTTCTGTATCTCCACTCTGCATCACCTTGCCCTCAGATTGCACTTTCTGTCAGGGAGCTGAGGCCGTTATCTATGCCCTCTGTGCCACCAGACTACTTTGACAAAAAGAGCAATTTTACCGTCCAGCACACAGGAGTTGCAGGCCCATCGCTGCCTCGATCGGTTAGTTTGTATGTGTTATTGTGTGACTTTGGTGTTTTAAAAGGGTTAGATCAGTTCCACCGAAGTCACACAATAACACAAACAAACTAATCGAGCCGGAGGTAGACCTACAAATTTTGACTTTTGTGAGGTAAAATTACTGTTTTTTGTCAATTGAGTCTGGTGGCTTTGAAGAGAGCTTAGATAACACAGTTCCCCATCAAAAGGGATGTGTGACGACAGATAAAGTGATGAATATATTCTAAATATAGCGTACACTTAAAGTGAAGGGATTTCTATAAATGTCAAATTATTCCTTTAGTTATGTGCCGTAATTTTGACTCCACCACCTCTAATTGAACTTTTTCTTAATATGAAAGATAAACACATGACATCCAAATAATGAGGACAAAGTAAATACATATTAACTGAACTGTTAGTTTTCAAATTGCATATGTTTAGTATGTGAAGTACGTGAAACTTGTACCTTCCGATCCGTAGCATTCATTAAGGTCACAGCAAGTCAAGAAATGACTTGGAAGTTGAGGCAAAGTAGGTGGAAACAGAAAGTGAAATGGGAAAACTGGGACACGAACGGCCCTGTGCTCAGGTTCATCTCAAAATGACAGATAAGAAATTCATCTTTCCATGTTTATCATACTCGTGCATCCTGGTGGATTGCAGTGGTCCTGAAAATAGGCAGATGAAAATGGTTTTGTAACCGTGCTGTTGCCTGTGAGTAACAGTCCAGCCACATATTTGTGGGCAAGCTGTCAGAGCGCTCCCATCATCCAGTTTTGGTTTGCACACCAGTGGTTTAGAGACCGGCTAGTTATCTTGTTATTCCATAGATCGGACATGTAGAAGAGAATCGTAAATATAATAATGTCCAGAGCTGAATAAAAAGGCATTAGAAGCTCAAAAAAAGAACATAAAAATACAAAAAAACATCATCAAATGGCAAATCCTCCTGGGAACTGGACTCAGACACCCATTTGAGTTAAGACCTAGAAAGAAAACAGAAGAAAATATATTAACCATCGTATATGTGTCGTCTAAATTTTGTTTAAATCTCGCTTTTTTTTTAAGAGTGGGGACCGATGTCAAAGATGCCATGGCTGCTTCAGTATGGTATTCAAAAAACAAATAAATACTTTAGTTCCAAATACATTATGTACCAGTTTTGGTGACTGTGGGATGAGTAGTAGAAATTTAATGAATACACATTGAATGTTGTACTTTAAAAATCTCATATTTGTGATAAAGCACTTGAAATATCCTCAGTATTGTAAAAAATAAATTTGATTGGCATGGCACATGATTTAGTTTTTACGTATAGCCTGTTACATTTTAAATAAAAAAAATATTATTCAAACTGATTTTATTATTATTTATTATTTATTTTATTTCAAAAACCTAAAGCATTTGTCAAAAAACACTAAATTCAAACACTTTATTTGGCCTGGTTATTGTAATAAATAATACAAATTTAGTTTTAAGGAAGTGTGAATTTAAATCAGTCTTATTATGAACTTTCTATTTGAGGCACAATATACAGTAGCCTCCATCTACATTGTGACACAGTGCATTCTATAATCATGAGGATTGCATGTTTCAATATGTTGAGTAATAAAGTGGTGTGCCTTGGGAATTTCATCTCCATGAGGTTGAAACTTGGGACCAAACCGCTGTCCTCAAGTACGTCGCAGTCTTATTGCAATTCACGTGTATTCTGAAGGCCTTGTTCAAGCTATACGGTAAAGCTGATAAACAGTATCAGTCACATGGGATTAGTCACACAGAGTGCACCCATTCCACCGCCTCTCTGCTTAATTCCAATCATCTGCATGCCGCAGATGGTTTCAGACTTACTGGACATCTTTGGTATGCGGATGGGACCACTGCTGGTGCCATCGCCCCCTTCCGTCAGAGCTTTGATCTCAATGAGGTAGTCCTCTCCAGAGGGGATTTGCAGCTCCACGCTGGTCTTATTTGTTTCCAGTACGGTGGTCCTGCTGTGCCAGTTCTGACGATACACGACCTGGAGGAGAGCGAGGATCCTGGGGTGAGCATTTCATTCTCCAGTTGTAGCAAACGGGAAAGTATGACTTCATCCAACATATTAAATTAGCGTGTGAGAAACAAATCAAGTTCCCTCAAGCAGGAGACCAAATGTTGGTTATACAATCCCTCTCTAGAGGAGGTAATGAATTCAACATGCCTTGTGAGGCGCTGGTTTTTTGGCCCACTGACTCAAAAGTGGAGGAACATATCTTCCCAACACGACCTCAGACATCCTTTTTACACATGTACTCATGTAATTTCATCTCCATCCAAAATGCAGCATAAAGGTTTATTTCATACTTCAAAAGCACAGAGAGTTAAACAGTGAATTCAGTTTTTAAAAAGTGAAAAAAATGGTAAGAATCTTTGTACTTTTGATTCACAGCAATGCCAAATTATGAAAGCATTCATGTCTACGGGCACTGCACCCTCCCTTACAACAGAGCCTTAACAAAAGACTTATTAAACGAGCAGGGCCGCATATCTCTGGAGAATGCATTTTGTTAAATATATTTGTGGAAAGCATTATCAAATACAGTGGGGGGGGGGGGGGGGGGGGTTTCACATAAGTATGCAAAGTGGATCCAATATGAGTCATTGTTGTACTGGTTGGAAGAAGCCGAATTCCTTCTGTGGTCATGATGCCTTTTTCGTTTTATCACCTGGAACCAATCTTTTAATTTTGAAAGGGCCAGACAGGGCCAATCCATAATGTAGCACTGGAGCGCTGCGCTCTATCTTTCCACTGCGATGAGAAAGCCATAGATTGGGATGACAGCTGTTGAGGCTCTATTTGTTTCTCCACTTTTGGAGTTTCTCTGACAAACTCACCTTGTATCCTGTCACCTCAGACTCATTTTCCATCGCCTTGACGTGTTCCCAATTCAGAAAGATCTTAGAGTTGGTCAGGTTCCACTCGATATTCCCTGGAGGCTGACTCGGAGCTGCAAGACGTGTAATGATGTGGACACGAGGTTCACAAATGAATGCATAAAACTGTGCCATCACCAACAGTGTTCTCTACACTTACTCTGCAGTCAGTGTTCTTATAACATCTGGGGTCTTATTTATATCAAGTGACAACCTTCGGTTCTGAAAAGCTGAAGCGATTGCTGAAGGGCTTTGAACTCTCGTTCTGTCTAATGGCCAGCAGGGGGCGCCTCCTCTGGTTGTAAAAATAAGTCTGGCTATGAGAATAGGACTCTGCGTCTCACTTGATTTATTACCACAGTAAACATTGTAAACATGAGTTCATTAGTTTCAAGTCTTCTACAATACAGCATGATGTTGATTTAGTACATGATGGTCCCTTTCAGAGTCAAATAGACCATAAAGCAGGGGATGCTTTGGGGCGGGGCTACCTTGTGATTTACAGGCAGGTACCGCTACATCCCTTCTACTCTTCAAATATGGTCACTTACTTTCACTGGTTGCAAAAAGCCAAGATGGCGACTGCCAAAACGCTAAACTCGAGGCTTCAAAACGTCTTTCAATAGATAAATGGGTGACGTCATGACGACTACTTCCACTTCTTGTACACAGTCTTTCATTTATATTCCTTATGGATGCACAAAACTGGGCCTGAAAGAGGGGTACAATGCTTTCCGTGCAAAGTGGTGATCTGTAAATACAAACTGAACAGGAGAGGGACAAACGGGACGAAGAATGTCCTCACCTGTGCGTAAACTCAGACCCATGCTTCTGCACATTTTGGAGACGCAGATGGGTCGTGAATTGAAGCCAGATTGTAGAAATTAAATTTCACTTAATACCAAACGACAATTATAAATCCATGTTATCATAAATAAACAATCAAATCAACCGATGTTGATTGATACTCGCGTGTTCTGTAACTATTCTATAAGCACCTTTTAATTGTAAAAGATATAAGCCAACTCAAATCCGGCACATCTTCACCAGCGCCATGTATGGATCGTGTGCAATAGCAGTGTGGAAATGATACCGGTGACAGCTCTCGCACCATCATTACACCCCATCTCCTCATTATGAGTTCACACAAGGTGCGAAACAATCAGTTGGATTGTTCTAAATATATACCGCGGTGGCACGCATGCTTTTGTGAGCACGTATACTTTTATTATGGATCCTATGCACTGTTTTATAAATGAGACCCCTTTAATCAAGTTAACGTCAACCATGCTCTTTTCCTAAACCTCACTAGTTGTGTTGCCTAAACCTAACTCGTTAAGACTCAAGTTCATTTTGAGAAGACACTTTGTGAGAATGTGTTGCTATAACATAAACATAATAAGAAATAATGAAATCCAGAATAAAAGCACGCATTAAAAAATGAAGAGACATAGATAAGAAAATTACAATAAACATGTGAAAAAATACGATACAAATATGTACAATATACTTGAATTAAAATAGCATGAGAATGAATCATCCATTCACAACAGCAATATCCATAATGTGTTTCTAACTGGAGAGTATAAATGTCATTAAAGTCCCAGAAATGATACAGAGGACATGACCTCAGTGGTGTCTGCAGCCCTGTCCTCATAGCCAGTAGAGAAAGGAGAAACGTCTCCAGCGACCAACAACTAAAGGTCATTTAAGTAAAAGGCAATAGCAAAGAACAACAACAACACTTTTGTATCTTGTGTGTGGACTCACGTGGTTTCTTGGTTGTGTTGTTAAAAGCGGGGCTGCAGGGTCCAAGTCCAGCGCTGTTCTGGGCTCTGACTGAGATCAGATAGACCGTGCTGCCCTTCAAGCCGGAGAGCAGAGCCGTGGTGTCGATAACCCTCACTCTCTCTGCCTCACTCTGCTCGGATCCTTCCTCCCAAAAGAGAACCTGGACCAAAGATACGAGGGTTACCGCGGACACCCGGCCATATTGTTTGCCATCTTCCGTTTTCCATTACCGATCCATGAACCGGTACAAATCTGCGACGCGGTGGAGTCAAGTCAAAACCTTATTTATTTTGCCAATTCCCTACTGAGAGTCTCACAATGTAGGCGTATAAAGAGGAGTATTATTCTAGAGTGCATATAGGTTGTTACAAACTGGCTGAAGAGATGTGATAACAAGCGCCAGGGTTATAAAAGAGGAATTGATTAAAACCAAAGGGTCATCTAGGTTTAAGTCTTTAACACGCTGAAACAGTCATTTTAAGGAAATAAAAAGCAGAATTCCTCACTATCAGCTCAGCTACTGTAGGTCTCCTGAGGCATTCCAACCCACATTTTTTAAAAACTATACCAAATGATACCGTATCTGACAATCAGCAATACCAAACGCAGCGCTGGGAGAGAGAAGTGCAAGGATAAGGAGCTCGTCAAGATTATGTGTTCATAGTGAGATCATTTATGACCCTGAACACGAGACCGGGAACACCAGACAGGAACGTGTCAAACAGATGGTTTTGAGAGGAGCTGCTTATTCAATTGGCTGCACACAGGTTTTCAGGGATCTTGTTCATGGAAAGGCAGATTTAGCGACACGGCCTGGAGTTGCTGATATCGGATGCATCGAGGATGGTTTTTATTTTTAACATCAGCAGTTTAATTATAGCGGTTTTACCAGCACTTGGGAGAACACCTAAGAAATTTTAAACATTGCATCTGCTACACATCTAAGCACGCACGCACAGCGCGATGAATGAGGGGGATGTGAGGAGGCTTAGGCTGCCTTGCTGCATCTTAAAGTCTTCTGGAGATAGTGGCAGAAAAGTGCATCATATCACCGTAGTCATTTAAATGTTGTTTTTATACAGCCGAGCTTCAATTTTTGTATTTAACTTGAATGGATGACTAGCTTATAGTGTCAAAAAGTACAGTATCAGCATTGTATGAGCTTTGCTTACATTTTGAGTGAATGGCCTCTTTTTCTGATGATATGCATAAAACAACTGAGATAATTATTAAAGAAAGAATTAGGTCTAAAGTTAGCACTGGATTGTTTTACTGGATAAACATACAGCAGAGTTCACTGAACTAACCTCACGACAGCTGAGGGTACCGAATATGTGAAATGTGCATTGTAATTTAGGAAATTCTTCCAGGAAGTTGTAGAAAACAGCATCTGTTCTGTTGTCTCCCGCTTCCTATATTGTAAATTGACCGTTTGTTAAACTCCTTCCCCAAACAGCTATTGTCCAATGGTAGCTGAGCAACTGTAACTAGGAATGGCAGAAGGAGTGTGCATGGAGCTGTGGTGAAAGTGATACTCTGAAAGAGTTTGGAGATGTGGGTCTTTTTTTATAGCCTTTTTAAAACCTAAACAACTACAAGAGCCAAAGTGTTAGGAATGGAATAAGCTGTTAAACGTCTGCTCTTACGAAAGCCGTTAACGTTAGCGTGCCTGGCTAACGAGTTGGTCACGGTAGAAACCTAGTGCTACTTCAAACACCCAGTTAGCACCTGATCTGTTAATTAACAACAATATTTTAGCGGTAAACAGGTGTTTGAGTCATTAGCGCCTCAGTCCTGCTCTTAGTTGTTACTGAATTTAACAAACTCATCGATTCAGTTTGAAAATGCAAACAATTAAACAGAAATCTAACCTGTCTTTTAATGCGCCAGTAGTTCATGACAGACTGGGTATACTACGTGCGCTAACTAGCTTGCTTGCAGTACAAGAACAACGCTGCTCCTTAATTTCCTGGATTACCAACCAGCCGCCCCGGGACCCTATTAGCCTGACATCTCCAGAACAAATGGCAAATGCAAATTAGTCGGGAACTTTTCCGTTCATTTTGGATTTCCAAAGGGCGTTATCAACGGGCGTGGACCAAAATGCCTCTGGACGCAATATGTCTGAACGAATGTTGCCGTTTTATGCCATCAGAATTTGAAGATAAAAGGGTTTTTTACTCACTCTACAAAATTACTCAAAAAACAACACTGCCGCAATGCTTCACCATCAAGTTTCACATCAGCTGCAGCCATCTTGGTCGTTTTCAGTGTCTCAAACACGCCCCAAATTAGATAAATGGTTGTGATTGGCCCATCAGATCTCAAGTGGCTGGAAATCTGTCCAAAGGGAAGAGGGGGCCAGACACATCTGCCAGAGCAAATTCATTCCCAGACCAGAACCCTATACCCCTAGAGAGGGGGGGCCCAATTGTCCCAGGCATTGTCAACTGATTTTTGGTAATTACAATTTTGTTCAAGGATTTTCACACTATACTGTAGTACAATATCGAAGTATGTTAGTCCTGTCCTGCGGAGGACAATCTGGTTTTACAAGCTGTCTTATTTTAGTTTACAGTATATTGCGCTCAGTATTTTAGGGCCGGTTGGAGTCTGGGCAAATAATGAAGCTGCCGTGTGTAGTCTGCTGAATGCGACTGATCTGATAGACTTGGATAGGGCAGGAGGGCAGGGCACTTTTGCCCTGGGGCCCCGCTTACAAGTTACTCCCGCCATGCTCAGAAACTTTTATAGAGGCGTATAGTTTTGATGGTAAAGCAGACAGAATCAAAAGTTCAAAGTGTTGAGAAGATAGTATTTGCTGAAGTATTACACTTTCACAGTCTGTTACCACTCGGAGCTGTATTTAGGTCCTGGGGCTCCTGCTACTTTCCTTCATATAGGGCCTATAAATCACAGTCTCTCGCCATGACTGCCAAACATGGTATGTCATTCACATCCAGGCTCAAGTGCAATCAAACAAAACCTACTGAGCTACAGAGGAACGCCTCTTTAATATATTCACAGTCCATAAATGACTTTCCAAGTTTTGTAATGCAATGAGCAATGGCTTGCTTCGTCATAGCATGATTTGTAGCAGTGGCGAAGACTTTGAGGGTGTTTTCTTCATCCTTGAACGTTTTCTCGTCTTTGGTCTCATTATGTTCCCCACTCTTCTGTCCATAAGGGCTAGAATGGCTGAAATTTAGCTTTCCTAACTAGCGGGTTTGCCATCGTAGACCAAGCCGAGCCTGCAGATGGACAATGTTTCCCTGATGTCGAATTTTTAATGTTAAGATGTCTGCATTCCTCCTGATGCAAATTTAAAAACAAAATGCACTACAGGAAGGCACTCCTTATTTTGTTTTGTCAAAGCTACAACTACATTTCATAGCGCAACTTTGTGATGCAAAATCAATCGTTTTTTGAGGCAAATAAGTGATGTGGGAGACAAACACTCCAAAGCGTCTGGTGAGGAAATATGACGCTGAATGCAATAAATATGGTTTCATATAAGGGCAGTGATGCTGGAGCCGAATCCTGTCAAATGGTGCGCTGAAACCATCAAAGCTCCAGAGACACTTACACACAAAGCGACCGGGATGTGTTGGGAACCCTAATGAATATTTCCTTAGGAAAAGGGGCGGGCTTCAGGCTCATTAGAAAGCCATCTCAACATTAACAACTCAGTCAAAAGCCACTTCCACAGCTAGCTACAGTATATGGTTGCTGCTTGTGTAGCTGGTAGCAAGAAACCCTTTACGGCCACAGAGGAGCTTTTCTTGCCAAGCATTATGGATATGTGCCAAGAGTTTCTGATTGAGGCAGCTGCAACCAAAATCATTCAATACCACTCTCTCCCATGTGTCTCACTGTGGTAAGCAGAGTGTCTATTTCGGTCATTACAGCTGACGGTTGCATAACACATATGTATAACCCAGTTTATTTTTTCTTTTTTTTTTTTCATGTTGTTTTTTTTCTTCAATTTATTTGGAAAGGCAGTCCTGACATTTTTTAACAATCAATATGGCCTGAAGATTTCAAGCACACTTCACTGAAATGAAAGGCCCTGCTACCAAAGCCTAAATGGCCACCACTCATGATCAGCTCTGCTGGGACAGATAGGCAGAGGCATACGAGTGCTCTCAAGGCTCTCTGCTCCACAGCTGGCTGTTCTTTACTCCTCAACCTGATCCTTTATGATGAAATACATACAGGTATTATAGTGATTTAAGTGATAGTTTAATTTATGATGAATAAAAACAAATAGAACATTGGGTATATCCATCAAACAACACAGCTAACAAGGCAAAACATCCGTTTTTGATAAAATGCAACCACACAATAAAACATATTGAACACGTGTCTCAAGTCTCACATGAAAACATAAGTCAGAAAGCATGCGTCCTGTGTTAAACACCAGAGGAATTACTGGTGTTGCCGCGGAAAGATTCTCCAGAAGCAAATCACTTGCAACTGGTTCTAAATAGGGATTACTTCTTGATTCCCAACACTAAGGGCCGCTGATGAAATACATTTTGTCCGAGCACTGTGTTCTAGCAGAGTGTATGGACAGGACGTTATGTTTGGGCTATGCTCTCCAGTTTCTCCGTCTCCCTCTCTTCTTGGCTGGAGTAAGACCTCTAATGAGGCTGTGGGCATCCTCTGCTGGGACATTCAGGAGCAACTACAGAGGGATGTTATTTCTGGGGTTCATCCAGAAGACTGCGGATACAAAAGTTTATTTTCCAGCGATTTTCTATAGAACTCCAGAACAGCGGGTGTACTTTTCTCAAGTTGTCTCAACTTGTAACGAATTGCACAAAGACAGTTCTGCATTTTTTCTGGAACGAGCTACTTGAACTAGTCCAATCAAGCCGTATATGAACCCCAATAAACTTAAATGGCCTCTATGATTCACAGCATTTCCATAATTTACGGATGGCATCCACCCAACTCTCACAATGGCTGAGCCGGCGGCTAACCGCTAACGGTGCAAACAATGGCAACAGTGCTGAAACAGCTAACAGTGTTGACCTGAGCGGGATTGGAGAGTGGGCGCTACGCTTCGGTGCTTAAACACATTTGATTTCATTCCTCGGTGAGGAGTTCCTTCACTTTACCTTTATTAATGGAATAACCTCCATGAACAACAGGTTCGCCCCCGACACCTTTTAACATTGTGAGCCACTGCAGTCTTCTTCTGCGTAGATGTGCTCATTCTATGAGCTCATGTTGCACTTATGTAAATAACTGCATGTGGATGTGTAAACAGCTGTTTGACATTTGCAGCTGAAAAAACGTGACAACCCGTCGCTTTTGCGCTTACAGCTTGTTTCCACCATCAGTTATTGCGGGTAGAAGTGCCGGTGCACCTGGTGACCATTCCCCTGGCAGCTCCAAGGGAACAAGTGTACTGGAGGGATGAATAGGTCTGAGTCAGGAACAACTTTAGGCTATGTGGGGAACCGGCCCTCACGAGAAAACAATCTTTGTTGGGCACGGATGTGAAAAATGACTGCGGTAGTTGGGCATAAATAGGCCAAATCAGTCCTTGCATTCTGCATTACTGTACTTTATACTATTAGAATATATATTCACAAAGAGAAGTTTAAGTTAGTGGCATATACGGAGGCATATCATTTACTTACACACTCCACACCTTGAGATATTCTTCTTCGTACCACCGCTTAATTGCCCCTCAGTCTAATTTAAGAGTGAGCCAAATAGTCACTCGAGCCAATATCAAAATAAATGATGCTGTTAAAATGGAGTTTCTGAATACGGACTGTTTAAAATATAACACATGGACATTTTAAATCCTAGTATTTGGAAACTTTACTAATACAAATCCAACAGTGAGATAACATATCTCTATGTATTTCTAGATAGAATTATACAAATAATGGTAACTTAAATGTTTGGCAACATGAAAAGGTTGTAGAAATACATGTATATTGTGAAGAAGGCGTATATTTGATATTGGAGCAGACTTGTAAAATTAGTTTCCCTATTTCAGCATGAAAATTCATGCAAATAAACTCAGCTAAACTGCTCTGTCTCGCTCCCAAACAAGCAGTCACGGTGCATCACACCCCTGTCTCATAACAATGTGTGCACCAAACACTGGCAGTGACCTCAAAGCTTCTCAGTAGAAGTCACGCCACCTGGGAATACCCGACCATATAAAATACCTGGGGTTTAGGAGAGACTGTTATTTTTATCTAGGTTTTTCACAGCCAAATCCCAGGAGAGTGTTTGTTGTACTGGAAAGTGATGTATGATGTTCACACCTTCTTTTATTTATTTATTATTGCGAATAGAGGCTCCCAGACAGCCTTGGTATTGAGGTCTTGTGGAGGCTGGAACAGCTGCCAACAGACTTCTTCATCCCCGAGATTAGCCAGTGAAAAATCTCCCGCTCCAACACATGCAGTATTTCAATGTCAGAATATTTCCACGTTGTCGCCACCGGCGGTTCTATTCACATGAACGCCGGCTTATTGTACTGCCAGTCATTCTGGGATTAATGTCTGCTCCTTGTTTGAATATTCCTGCTGGCACTATTATTTAAACTATTGTTTTTCATACCTCATACGCAATGATCTTCCCGCTGCCAGACCCGCTGGGAATTGGTTCCCAGTACACTTGGATCTCAGAGGCTGACACAGCGCGGGCCCAAACTCTCGATGGCGCCTCAGAGGGCTCTAAATAGGAGAGATCATGAATTATGCATGTAGGCAATTAAGAGTGCATTTCTTTAACACGATCAACTTTATTTCTGTTCACAGTGTGTACAGGGGGGGTGGGGACAAACACACACACCTTCCTCTGCAGAAAACACTGTGTCGACCGGGCTGAACGGCCCCTCTCCCATGCCGTTGTAGACGCCAACTTTCACCTCGAACTGGGACAGGGGTGCGATGCTGTCGTTTCTGTAAATATATCTCGACGCATCCGGTGATGCCAGCACTGTCTGGATCCAGGTGCTGCTGCCAAGTGGGCGGAAAGCCACGACATAGCCAAAGTCCTCTCCGCTCTGCTGTTCCTCTGGAATGGGCTGAGATAGGGGCACAGGAAAGTTACGCCTTTGACCCAAACAACTGTGAGCAGAAATTGAATAGGGGAGTTGTAAAAAAGTCTTTTTTTATGTCCAACAAAGTATCGAGCCAAATCTCAGCATCTCTCTGCAATCTTTCTGCACTTTGAGCCACATCCAAAGAATGTAAAGTTGTCACCTAACTCTAGATTTACACATATGAAATTTGCACTGGCTCCGTATCTTCACTTTGATTTACGCAGCAGGAGGGGGCGAGCAGGCAGCGAATCAGAGGAGCTCTGCCTTTAATTAAAAGCCGTTCCACTGAGCGCCCGGCCACTGCGGACACGCTCCCTCCGCCAGGAGTCCGTTCTCGTCGAAAGCTTGGAGTCACAATGGATGACCACTCAGGGATGCACATGATCCTCTTACCTCCCACGTGATGACGAGTTCTCCCCGAGCTCCTCCGCCGCCGCTCACATTAAACGGAGCAACCTTGGGAACTAAAACAGGCAGAAAGGAAACTTGTCTCAGGCAGGTGCTGAGGATTCTGTCAGGTGTTAAGAGGAGGTAACAGTCGCTCCGTAGAGCTGCTCATTCGTGTACAACGGGTTAATCACACAGCTGAGGAATCAGCTTTTGTGTTGACAGTGGCATTGCCACCCGCGTACGCTGATGTTATTTGTCGAGCACCGTATGTCGGCCCCGTGTCTGAGGCACGACGGGGAAACATGTTCCCTTGTGATTCAACCAGCGGGACGGAATTACTAACCAGCTGAAAATAGACACATCATGCTGACGCCTCGTGTGTCGATAGGTCAATTTTTTCTTCTCTCTCTTCATGCAGCTATTAATTGTCATGTTCCAGAGTTGTGACATACACGAGCTTTAGCGTGGAGAAGTGTAATTTAATTTCCACTTCTTTTGCATGCGACTGAGTAATCAAAGCATTGGCACGAAAACGATCGGCAGATTCGAAAAACGTCACAGGGAGCACGGGAGGAAACAGATAAATCACATTCTCCAAGTGGGGCTGATTAATGTGTTACCAAGAGAGACAACAAATTGAGAGGATACCTGCTGCTTCGGTTCGAATCTGTTGCGATGGCGTACCGGCATCTCCCACGCCAACGCCGTTGATTGCCACCACCCTGAATTCGTAATCCACCCAGGGGTTCAAATCTTTCACTGTTGCATGCATCATCTGTCCAGGCACAGAATCAGGAACTAGGATTAAAGAATTTAGAATTGAGATGCGTTTCTTTCTTTTTAAGGCACATATTTCATTTTGTCTCCAACAAATATATGAAAAAAACATTACACAAACCAGTGAAGTACATCAAAACGAAGTGGCGACATGTGTTTTAATAGTATTCCTATTACAGTACGTTCAGTACACCTTCTGCAACTACTGTGGATATTGCACAGAAATGTCTCCATGTCATCATGCAATACACACACACACACACACATTAAACGAATAAACAGAATTAATAAGCTTCAGTTGACAAGACCGCAATTGGCTTGTTGTGTTTAAAATCGCCGTCTCTCACATAGAACTGTAACTTTAAATAAGCTGATGTTGAGGTTACAGAAGGATACGATGACATTAGAGCAGAGGAATGAAGAAGTTGTTTTGCTTTAACTTATAATTGCCAAGTAAATGTTGATTGCGCAATGTAATGGCTGTAGAATAATGACACCATCTGTTTCGAATGGCTCCCTGTAAGCCTCGCTTTCACCGTGCAGTTCGGTCTAGCCTCCGGGTACGACCTCCCGGGATAATGAAGCCTCCCTTCACGGCACAACGTGAGCGCGTAAACTATTCAGCAACCGGAGAGGATAGCACTTTCGTTTGTCTAGTTCATAAAGTTCGGAGAAACCCGATGGAACTGCAACGCTAAATCGCTGGAGTTCCCCTTTAAGGGATCCATGATGTTTGCTTATGTTATGCATTTGTGTAAAACTGGTGTATTATTATCAGATTTTTTAAATCTCAAAAATCTGGATTGGCCTCAAAAGTCCAATATCGGGTAGCTTCAACATGCTGCTAGTTAGATTCTGTGTCCTGTGTGGACTTCAGAATGGTAAAAAGAGCCTAAAGTGAGCGACTTCAACAAGAGGAGCCTTTGTTCTTCAAAGAGAGTAAAGGTTCACATATTACAGTGTAAATCCTCACTATTGACTTCCATGCATTGAAAATAATAAGCAGCCGTTACCTGTTCTCACAGTCTGCCAGCCGACAGAGAAGGGGGTCCTGGCCTGGACCATGTACATGGTAACAGGACTGTGATTGTCAGGTCCGGAGCCCCAGGACAGTTGCACAGCGGTGTCGGTGATATCGCTCACGGCCAGGCCCTCCGGGGCGCCAGGGGGTCCTGCAACAGCCCGAAATGAGGACAGACACACTGCATCAGCCTCACTGTACAAACGGCAGCCAAATCAAAAGGGAGTCACTTCAGGTGAGCGCGGCGGACTCAGAACTGATTCGCAACTCGGCTAACGACCTCGGTGTATGGCAGGTGGAGATATAATGGGTTCTGTTGGGAGTGCCAGTCTAATCAATACACTGAATAGTGCAGTTCACTGAGGTTAGACCATCTACTGTATGAGTTTACTCACAGAAAGTGAGTAAACTGAGTTGGATTTTTTTCAAACTATGAAAGAAGTCGTGTTCGGGAGAATCAAGAAGTCTCGTCAAGTGAGAGGAACTATTTATTTTCCTGGAGACACGTGTGCCTTCACCCAGAAAGAGGAAAAGAAAAAAGGCTCTCGTTGTCCAAACTAACTAACCATGATGAGAGAAATCATTATTTCCCACTAACATTATAGACACTGTTCATGACCAGGGATTTACAATTGAGATCTCATTGAAATTAGGGCAAGCACTAAGACGAGATCAAACAAACAGGCCGGCAGATTTCCTGCTAAACCCGCAAATCTGCAAAGCGTAGCCCTGAGCCCTCAGCGGGACTACCTGCTGCTGGAAGAAGATCACTGGTTATCAGCGATGCTTGGTTTCAGATTAAGAGCACGATCCGTATGTAAAAGCCGTAGCCGTCTGACTGTGGCTGCCGGCTCTTGATCTCACGCTTGGCCAATCTGAACCGCCCAGACAACGGTGTTTATTTTGGTTATCCATTTCAGTCATGGGTGACTGGCACAGAGGTTTACAGTTAAAGGGATCAGGCCAATAGAGTGACTGGCAGAGAAAATGAGAATTCATCACCGCGCCTCTCCGATATATACAGTGTATATATATATATACATATATATATTCCATGACCTTTCTGGAGCATGCTGTGGTGCGCTGTGCCTTCATGAATGAAGACAGCAGCTGTCTTCGCACACACTACCTCTCACTTTCAGGACTTGTCTTTGTGACATCAATACAAGTTCAAATATTTTATCAGCCACCTAAATCCTACAATGGATCTTTAAATTGTTTATGGAGATGTTAATCCCAAAAATTCCCAGGGGAAGCTATGGCTGCTTTGTATTTGTAATGGAAAAAAAAAGTCTGTGACTCAGAAAGTCAGGACAACATGAAACATTGAATCAGTCACGATCGATGTTGAATTCGAAATGTCTACGTGGGAAGTTTATTTTATCGTGTGTATTGAGCGGAAACTGAGACGTCTAAAAGTGACGCTAGAGGGGCAGCTAGGGCGTCGGTATTTAACGGTAACATTAAGGAAGAATCACACTCACTGACTAGCTAGAAAGAATGCAGCAACTTTAAAATAATGCATCAAAAGTCACGTGGTTCCCTTGAACAAAATCAATCACTGATAAACCTCCGATATGTGTGTCAAGCTGCTTAAGATAGCCACGTTGTAACATCAAACATGTCCTCCACAGGATATATGGAGTTGAAAACTTTCGAAGACGGTGTTTTTACCCTCGCATGAAGCTGGTCTCTGATCTTACTGGATAGCCCCGGAGCTTTCGGAGCGACTTACCTATATCTCTTTAACTTGATGATCACAGAGCCCATGGGTTAAAAAAACAGAATAAATTAATTTCAAAATGCTCACTGTTGTCAATCAGAAAGTCTATTAAAGCTGTTTTTCCTCCGAATCCCTCAAAACTGACATCATGGTGCTGCAGCTCTCATCTGACAGCAGTGAGATGTGTGCGTTACGATGTGAAGAAAAACACACACACACACACACACACACACACACACACACACACACACACACGCACTCCACAAAAAAAAACAACAAGAAATTGAAAAGCTCCATAGAGAGTGCTACAAAATGACAAGTAGGAAGAGGTGTACCTCTGACAATTAAGTCTGCTGCTGCTGAGACGGTGTCAACTTCAGTGTGCACCATACACACGTACTTCCCAGAATGCTTTAGCTGAATGTTCCTCACCATCAGGTCACCTGCAAATCCCTGATGACAAAGACACATTGGTACAAAAGCCTCGCAGAGGAAGAAAAACAGCAAAAAGTAGCAAAGTCAGAGTCAAAAAAGAAAAGAAAAGAGAAGTATGGAAACTCCTTGGAGCACGTTCAATTTCTTTCTCTGTCATATGCAGTAAATCCTCCACAGGAGAATCTTCACCACAGGAAGAAAGAAGAAAAAGATGACATGACAGGCTAGCAAAACAAATTAATTCAGCTTTACACTGTAAGGAAGGCCAGACTTTGAATCCGTTTGTTGTGTTTATATTTTACCCTTACAGCTCAGATGAATGTCTCAGACAAGAGCTGGTTACGGTTTCTTTTAGCAGTTCACTGCTGTGAGCGCCAACACACACGGATGTTCCTCCAAACTCGTCTTTTTCTCCAGCAAAAAATACAGCGATTCAGAAACCGACCCCCTTTTGTGTATTAAATGAAGGCGAGTTGAGCAGCTGTTGTGATTATTTTGGCCGTGGAAGTGTCAGTGCTGCGCGGGCGACTTCAGTGGGCCTGGTGGACTCCATCGCAGGGAGCACAAATGTGGTTATTACGAACGGAGGAATTGATTGATTCGCTCGTACAGTCAGATCACCTCCGGGATGGAGAAATGCAAACCCTTGTTTACAGGTTTCCGCCCTTCAGACGCGCGACACACAGTAACATCTGCTGGCATCTGTGAATGAAGTGCACACAGTTTCGGACCCTAATAACACGATTCCCTTTGGTGCTCTAATGTTGTCGATCTTTCAGCGTAAAGAACGGAGGCGATTCAAAAAATGTGCCTAGCAGCTCCCCCAAAAGCTCGCTAATTAGAGAAATAGTTCAACATTTATCTCTGTCCATTATATGTTTAGCCACAGCCAGCAGCAGCTTAGGTTAGCATAAATGCTAGAAATGGGAGAAACAGCAATCCTACCTCTAAAGCTCACTATATAACCACATTATCTCTCCTTTGTTTATTTTGTTCTTAACCCCTCCCTCTGCAGATTGTTGTGCTGTTTCCACCTGTTTCCAGTCTGTATGTGTGCTAAGCTAACCGGATGCTAACTTTAACCACAGACAGACATGAGACTGGTATCTTTTCATCTCTCAGCTCTTCAAAGCAAAGAATATTTCCCAAAATGTCGAACGGCCAGATGCGGCCACTTCCTGGCATGTCATTATTACATTACCTTCTGTGCTGATCAAACAATAAGGGAAATGACATCTTAATAAATGAGCTTTGGAGGCCTTGCTTAGATTACCGTAATGCACGTCATACTGTTACCACCTAGGGGAAAAAAACCCTGAAAGTTTTATCAAAAAACAGGAAAAGAGAACATCTTACAACAGTACTATATTCATTACACTGGCTACCTGCAAAATGGTTTAGAACCTTCAAACCTCTCCGATTGCGTATCTGAGTATGTTCCATACGGTTCACTTAGGTCGTCTGGTGCCGGCTTGCTCAATGGTCCAAAAATGACTCACAAAAAGTACGGCGATGCGGCCTTCTGTTGTTATGGTTTGGGAAAAACTTATCTTGACAATACAAGACAAGCAACTTCTGTTGACAGTTTTATGACAAAGTTTAAAACGTGTTTTTATGATCTTGTGGAGGTGGATGGGTCAAACAAATAGCGATCTTTCAGCCAGGAGACCGCTGTTTGTTCCACATGTGAAACGAGAAGGCAATGTTTGTTTGTCACGTGACTTGTGTACTTCAGTAACAACACTTCCGTAGTTATTTCAACCCAAACGACGATCTTTTCCTACTAACACCTAAGTAGTTTTGTTGTATAAACCTAAGTATTTCACTTTTTTTTTTTAAACCTAAGTTTTCATAATCTTTTCCTAAACGTAACTAAGTATTTCACGACCTTTTCCCAAACCTAATTACATATATTAAGACCTTTTTCTAAACATGACTACGTTGTTTTGTTGCCTAAACCTAACTGAGTTGTTTCCTGTGAAGACGGAGGTTTATTTTGAAAGGACTGCATGCATGGAACGAGTGGAGATTGGAACGTGTTGCTGGCTTTTGAAGGAAAAAGCTCGAAAAACTTCCTTTTTTACTTTTCATGAGATATCATATGAACCGCTATGTGAGTATACGTTGCACCATTAAATACATCTATTTTCAATCCAGGTTTTGAGGAAAAATGTGATGGTTAAGAAGCACTCAGGAAATGGCATAGCTTCAATATCAGCTCTAGCTTTTAAAACAATGATGTCGGTCAAATCACTGGCTCTGATTGGCCCGGCCTAAAATCCCTGAAGAACAAGCGTTCAGCTGTATCATACATACCCCTCCAATCATCTCAAAGTGCTCCTGCCTGCTGAAATCAATGGCTTTCCCATTGAAGAACCACTTGAAGATGGGAATCAGGGACGAATCACTGGACACCTCGCATGGCAGCACAATGCTCTGTCCCACGGTGGCGTCCAAACTCAAGGGTGGGACGACGATCTTGGTCGGCTCTACGGCATCATGAAAAGAAAAAGGGAGAATTAATCGTTACTGTATGTGGCGCTGTATTTCTATAAAATCCAACAAAATGAAGAACGCAATAAAGCTTAATTTGCCCAGAACAGTGGGACAGATTCCGCTCTATCAGTGTAATTAAGTGACCTCAAATAACTTCACTTAGGAAGCGAGTGCCTCTCATAACTCAGTAATGAATAATTAAACACACTGCAATCACAATGTCAACTAGAGAGGGGAAAAAGAAAAAAGAACTCCCACTCTATGATCATCATTATTTAAAAATCCAAATCTGAAAGTGCTACAGCAGCTCTTTTTTAAATTAAATGTCAGTGTCAAAATATTCCTCACTCACAGCTACAGACGGCGGCGGTTTGCCCCACTCTGCTACATGCACAATAACTCACAGCTGACAAAACCACGGATGACTTATACGTCTGTCAAACCGGCGGGAACATAAAACGGCTATATATTTCATTATCAATTTCATGCTTGAGCTAGAATTTTTTCCCCCTTTTACAAAAGTTTAAACCCTCGGCTTGAAAATGTACAGTAGTAAAAGTGTGTGGAGAAAAACAACAACAAAAAAAGGACACACCTTTCACCAGCAGCGTCCCGGTGCTGCTGGATGTTCCAAAATGGTTTCTGGCCGAACACGTGTACCTGCCTCCGTCCGATGTGGAGATGTTGGTGATACGTAGCGTCCCATCCGCCATGATAGTCTGTCTGAGGAGAGGGACAAAGATGAAACAGTCCAGTTCTCAACTCGTTAGCCGTTAACTGAATGAAAAGTGACGATAAGCATCAAATTAGAAACTGCTTCCTGGCCCGAGATACGGTGTCATTTCTCGAGCCGTTTCAACTTTATTTTTTTATTTTTCCCCATTTATATTTTTGAATGAAGGCTTCAGAATCTATTCCAAAAGTCTATTTGCACGCCTCAGAAGATAACAATTATCTTAGCTGAAGCAGAACAGATTTGCTGTAGGGTCAGCACAGTATTGACAGCGCAGCAGCTTAAATGCACATATTAATTGGATACACAGCGGGCCACCAGGGCCGGGCGACGATAGGAGGAGGAAGAGGAAGAGGAAGAGGAGGAGGAGAGCGGCACTAGAGAGAGAGGGCGATTTAGAACGGGATCTTTACCTGCAGCCTTATCGCTCGGCAACACGTGGAGATAGTATCAACATGCTGTAAAGCCATTTCTGAATAGTAATAGCATGGAGACATATAGAAGCATCTCACTTGATAAAAGGAAAGTGTCGGGCTGGTTCTCATGGGAGGAATAAAGTGGGAGTCTGAAAAACAGTGTGAAAGGAATTTTGACCCCCTTGTGGTCTGGTTGTAGCAGCTCGAGGGTTACTTTTACTACATTTCCCTTTTGTTGTTAAACATTCCAGCCTGGACCGCTTATTTTTGGCACCTTAGCTCTGCACAGACAAGTTGGAAAGCATGTAAACATATTCATAAACGAGGCCGATAATGCGCTCCTGTTGTGACCTTTTGGATCGAGTAAATCAAACAGGAATGCTGCGAGCAGCCAGCACCGAAATCAAACAGATGCACATCGGGCTCAGCATTGGAATAAATATGTATTCACTGGAGGCCGCGCTGAGACCCAGAGAGCATGTCTGACACAGGGTGCTTTGCGCTGATTTATTGACAAAAATATCAAACGCTGAGTGATGGAGGCGCGCTGAGAACATGACCCCGAGGCGGCAATGAGCTGCGAAACAAATAGAAACGCGAAGAACTATCTGCTTTGTGGACAAACTCGGTTTATGTAAGAATTTCTATTCTTGTTCTAAAAATGCGCTGCCTGGGTAATGCACGGGTCATTTTTCTCCCTTTCCTCCATGAGCAGCGCACGGAAGAAAAAAAACGTGATAACTAATCTATCCCGCTGGTCACATGTTGACGCAGGTCCAGCGAGCTACATAGAGTCCATGGAAGAAGAAAAAATGGCCGAACGTATTGATCGGAGCCAGAGTCCAAAAGAAAAAAAGAAATACAGCAAGAGACGAGCTGCACACTTTGCACTTCATCTGATGCAAAACACAGCATGCATAACCAGCATGCAAATTAAAAACCACCAAATTAGAGTCAGCATGTGCCACGGTGTTACACGAGTACATTTAACGGCACTCTGATCAGATCGTCGCGGCGCTCTCTCTCATTTTCTGCAGTCTGCTCCTTGATAGATTGGCTGTCAAAACACTGTACCGACGCTGTTGGTGTGATCTGAAATTGGGATGTGTAATTGGAAATCAGTTGCTGGGTACATCAGATGGTGGCTTTCATAAAAGAGCGGACAACTCTTGCAAAGCACAGGAGCGTTTCAGGTGAGGTAATCATAATGAACTGTGTAAAAGCCCCTTTTTAATATCCAATCAAAGCCAAATAAAGTCAGAAATGTTCATTTTTCATTATTGCATGTTTCTGATTCACTCACATTGATGCATCGGAATGAATGAGCATGAACCGTGTTAACCCCCCCCCCCCAAAGAAAGTGATTATGGTCCACTCTGCTCTGGACTTCTGCCAGCAAATTTCAATGGGCTACTCAGGTTTATCTCTCTGTATTCACAGAGGACTCTGGTGTTGATATATTCCTACCAAAGACTCATCAGAAGTGTTTGCACGAAAGAAAGAACTTCAGTGAGTTAACCTGCACCCCTGGATACAGCTGTTTAAGGCAAAGACTTCTTCCATTTGAAACTTTTTCACACTGAAAGTTTTCAGTAGGAACTTCCTTCTCGACTCAATTTTGAGAGAAAACCCGTCTGGAGTTTGATTGCCAAAAGACTAGTACTACCAGGCCGCTGTTTTCAGCGTTCAAACTTTCGTTTAGTCTTTTCTGCTGGAGTGACTCCTGCTGGGTGGTCAGGGTGCCTGCATTGAGGAGGTGGGGGAAGGCATGGGGTGTATTAGGCCCCACCAGCTGAGCTCCTCACAGGTGTGCATCAGTGGAGTTAGCGTTGACGGGGGCCACTATAGACGGGAATCGACCGTTTGTGAAGACCCACCACCTTTCAAGCGTTCCATTCCCTAATCCCTCACGCGTGCAGTTTACATTGATAACAGCGGCAGATTTACCATCAAAACTAAAAGCTTCTTTAATATGAACTTGATGGCTACTTACATGATATCATGCTAAAAGACTGAAGCTAAAGCTGCATGTTCTACGCAAAAAGTCAGCAGCCTCACATGCTGAAGAGCCATGTAGAGGACATTATGGAAATAAAGAAACGGGAGTGTTCTTGTATTGCAGTGTAAAGCTAATTGTCCCCGTATTGTAATAAGGAAATCAAAAGCAGAATCCTGTTTGTTTGCTTAGAGTACACACTTGTTCACATTTTTTTCCAAGTATCTGTTTAGATTTTTTTTTTGTCTGGAAGAGAACCTCTGCTCTTCGACTAAATGCTCACAGCTGTCTGACGCGACCCGTTTTAGAATTAAGGCTGGTGATTTTGCACGTGCACATTTCACACAGCGTATTCACAGCCCTGTCCTATTAATACACATGCTAATCGCTGGTGATCAACATGAGCATTCCAGATATCAAACTGCATTCATTCGCACGCACATGATGCTTTTGCTTGGAGGCTATTTTAATGTTGTGCCAGAACTTAGTCATTTTTTTAAACTTAGGACACAATGAAACTTTCTGTTAAACTTATATGAAAGAAAGAAAAATCACTTCCCAGCAAGGCTCTTGGAGAAAAAATTGCTGCTATTATGTTAATTATACGGTTTGAGACTGATAAGGCCTTCGGATGGTGATTTACAGAAGAGACAAGCTTTCAACTGCAGTGTGTCTGACGACGTGCGGGCGTACTGGACCATGTTTTACAAAGGGAAACACCAGGACACGGACCTTTCTTCCCTCACAAACTAACCTAAGTGCTTAATAGGCTAAAACTTTTACATTAACAGTGGTAGCGTTTCCGTCTAAGAGGGTCAGAACTTCAGTCCCGCAGTGCTGCAAGTGAATTCATGTTGGAAAGCGGTTTTCACCGATTTACTTACTTCTGGTTTGAGTCTCTTTACTTGTCGGACCTGTCTAGCAGCCCCCGAGCCCAGCCCCTTGCTTTTCTGAACCTACATCACTTTTCCCCCCCCCCCCCCCCCTTAAATCTTTCACTGAAACATTTAACGAAAGCAGCTCTCACGCTGCGCTGTGCTCCTTCTTATTGTGTGTATTAGTCTATTGCAACAACAAACCGTTTCTTTTAGCTCGTAGGTGCTGCCTCAGACCTTTAAATCATGACACGGTGTGGCCTGTCATGTAGCCCGCGGTGGAGTTTTGCTCAAGGATGCAATGAGTTCTTCTTCTCTGTGTTTTTTTTTCCACACAGAGAGCATCCCTTCAGGGTCTCGGTTCTGCATCCAGCATTTTGACTGCCTTGAAGAGCTCTGAAGCCGTGGGACACTTTGAATTTTTGTGCTTCTCAGAAAAACTGATGGAGTAGCAGGTCATGGCCTCGTTCTTAGAAAAAAAAAGGACTTCAGACAAAACTACTACTGTCAACAGAAAATCAAGATCTTTTTCTATGTGAGGAATAAGGTCTATCTCTGTCTCGGACCGAACAAGGCTGCGTTCTGCATCGCTGACTTTCCCCTGAGTCCCCTTGAGCAGAGGCATAAATTACAATGAGCACTAGAGATGAAAATGACCACGTGAGCAAACCCTTTAACAGATGCCATGAGGAAGCATGAGCAGCGGTGCATACGATACCCTACCTCTCTCTGTCCTTCAGGAGTTCGCCCCCTCTCCACCAGGAGACGGTTGCCCTCGGGGAGGCGTGGGGGCGGCACTCCAAGACCACCTCGCCCCCCCTCTGGATCACGGTGGACTTCTTCACGGGCCGCCGGGTGAAGTCCGGCGGTGAGGCTGAGGAGCAAACCGGCGTTAAGGTCCATTTGTTTCGCTTTGCGGAGGGCGCAACAGCCGCGCATCAGCAGAAATGTCAAGTGCATCACAAGCAATTACGGCTATTTTATTTGGCCGCCACACTGGCTTACTGTATGAGAGAATTATGGAAATGAAAGAGAGGGGGGGCTATGGCTCAGCGGGGAGCTGCTTCTGCCTCTTATCATTTGTTTATTTCAGATAGGAACCAGTTCCATTGCCCTGACAACACAATGCACATGCAGTGTATCTCTGCCTTGCCTCTGGTTCAATTTGTTGTAAATAATACAGGGCGAGCAAACTGCTTACCTACAACCTTGAGCTCAGCGCTGGCATACACGGCTCCGTGTTCACTCTCTGCCACGCACTGATACATCCCAGAGTCCAACAGACTGATCCTGGAAATGGTCATTCGACCCGCTTCCACGTGGATCCTGCCCTGCAAATCAGGCCAGCTGATTAATGTTTGCCGACATCTCTCACTGATTTATGTCCATTTCATTTTTGCGAGACGAGTGCAAGCTTCTGGATCGTCCTTTGCCTTCGAGGTTTTCAGCTAAGCCCGAGTAAGATTTGTTTCTGAATTACCTCTGAAGGAGTATTATTTTGAGAGAATTGATTTTTGTTTGTGTGTGTGTGTGTGTGTGTGTGTGTGTAACATCACAATGAGGTTCTCACATTTTCTAACAAATGTCAAACCTCAGCTTGACTTGTGGTGTCTTACCTCTGCTGTTAGCGGCTGACCGTTCTTCAGCCATTTGTATGTGGGCCTCGGTTTACCCATGGCTTTACATTCCCACTGCAGATTAGCATCGATGGCCATGTGAGCATCTTTCAGTGTCTGGACCCAGTGCAGATGTTCAGCATCTGTGGGAAATGCCACAATTAAATTGCAGAGGGAACAGATGAGTATTATGATCATTATAATGGTATATTAATGCACTGTGCAGCTAAATAACTGGATGATTGCATTATTTTTTCCCCCAAAAGGGCTGCATGAACAGTGTGGAGCAGCTTTTCCTCAAACATTCAGAGCTTGTTTGCTCTAAATGTGGAGTAAATTGCTGTCTTATTTTGACTGCTGGAGTGGTTTTTGGGTCTGATTTTTCAAATCTGAAACACGGCGTATTTGCACAACGTGTTTCATCCAATTTGCTCTCGCAATCTGCATGTATTTAGCTCCTGCTTTCACTGGGGCAGCAGCTCATCACGCAGTCAGTGCACGGGACTGGCCTGCAGGCGTATTGTGCAGTAGGTGCAGTTCATGGATCACCGAGAGTGAAAATGTATTATGCTGCAAATACTATAATAAAATAAAGCAACAGGATGTCAGGATGTCATCTATTTGTGTTGCAGTTCGACTCCACCAGAGAAAAAACTAATTCTGTTACTCATTAAATTGAAAAATTCAGCCTCTGTGCGATATTAAAGCAACAGGGTCAATAAACAAAAAAAGACAAAAGAAAATATAGCTCATATAAAAATACAGTTGACACAACACCTGCAATCAGAGGTGAGAAAGAGAGAGCTCACTTCTTGTCTGCTTCTGCGAGTTTCTCTTTCCCACCATGACCTCATTTTACTTCAGTTTATTACCCTTCAGAAGTGCCTGATTTCCCAATCCAAAACCCCAATGCACAATCAACTTAACAAGTAACTCCCTCTGCCCGTTGCATGACCGGACCTTGAATGCAGAGACTAGACATGAAGAGTCCCGAACAATGTGGGCTCTAAATGTGTAAATAAAGGCACAGGGCACAAAGTTTAGTCAGATTCAGTGAGGCAATCTCAGAACCCACCGGCTAACGGTGTGACGAAGGTTCAGCCTCTGGGGGGGTTTCTGGGCCAAGACTCCCTCTGCCGTGTGTTTACAGTCCAATAAGCAACTTGAGAGCACAGAATGGTGTTGGAGTTGAGAGATAATGTCTACATGCAGATATTTGTTCATAGAGATGAATAAAAAGCTGAAACGTCATCAGACGATAGCCGATGGGTTCAAAGGTTGCATTTCGGGACAACGCGTTCTGCCTTTTCTTCCTCTCCACACAGAACTGCTCAAACGTGACATGTATGTAATATTGCTAGTATTGTAATGATTGCCTATGTAATATACCTTCTTTTGAATAAAACAAACACATTGGAATTATAGTAATTATTTTTCTATCGACGCCCAGGAAGAGGAGCCGTTGCCCCGGTAACAGCTGGTGGGGATCCAAATAAATACACCGAAAATCAATCTTGGTATAATGACGGACTGAGAGAGAAACTTCGACAGCCACGTCGAATCAATAATCACGTTCGCATAATATATCATGGTGAGATTCGGGGGATGAGGCTTTAATCTCCAGCAGGCTGGACTTTTGTAACGGCCTCTTCTCACAGAACCGTTCAGCTCCTTCAGAACCACTGAGTCCTGAAAGAAGAGAAAACACGAGTCGTGAAACAGAGTTTGAATCACTGTTGCTCGTCTATAGATCGCTCACTTGTTTAGGACCTCCACACATCTCCTGTGAATCCCAGTTAAACGTGAAGAAGCAGCATTTAGTGACTTTGCACCACAGAAGTGGAACAAAAGATTTGGTCCGACTTTAAATACTTCTTTTGAATCCATCTTTTTATGTTCTCCTCTGCCTCCGACTGAACCTTTGGCCTTAATTATTTTTTTAACCTTGCATTTCTTGATCTTTTGAATTATTTTTACATTTTTCTGATTGGATTTCTATCTTTTTAATTTGTTGGTTCATGTTGCGGTTTATCTCTTTTTGAATGGATTAATTAAAGCACCTTGAATTGCATTTGTGCGTGAAATGTGCGACACAAATAAACTGGCCCCTCACTTTGTGTCAACAGCCACTCACGCCTTCGCGTTTGCTGCTGCTCACGTCAAAAACTAGACGCCTTAGAATCAAAACAGCTGGTATGCAAATTATATGTTAAACCAAAAATATAAAGACGGATATAATATCGATCTGTTTCCAGCTCCTCATTAACGCGTTCAGCCGACGGAACCAGCGGAGACTCTCACTGATCCGTCTGCCTATAGAAGACAGTCGGGACTCATTTCAAGGCTTGCGGTTTGACAGCCGGTAGATTCTATCCTGACGTATGAGTAATCTCATTTCTTACCTCAAGCCGCTGGTTAAAAGAAATGTACAGGACGGAGAAAAAAAGACAAAAAATAAAATATTAGCAGTGATCTCCTTGAAACAAGCAAACAAAGGTATACACGGCTCTTACTGTGGAATATGAGTTGCCCTCTGGCAACATTTCGTCCTCTGGTGTTCGCGGCCACACACTCGTACACACCGGCGTCCTCCGGGCGAAAGTATGGGATTTCCAGAACCCCGCTAGAGTGGTTGATTTTAATCTTGCCAGGGAGTGGGTTTCCATCCGCTCTTCTCCAAGAGATGGAAGGCACGGGGCTGCAGAGGGCACAGACACAGAAAGGTCACGCTGGCCACATGCTTCCTGCTCACACTGACCAGAAGGCCCAGGTGTCTGCTGAAGTAAAGGATGTCTGGACACTGAGCGTGGTTCCGTGTTTCCGACACTTACTTTCCCAAGGCGAAGCATTCCAGCTTCACCGATGATCCTTTAGAGACTCGGAGGGTGTCGGGAAACTGAACCTCAATCTTTGGCTCGTATTCACCCATCACTGCTGCGTGAAGGATAAAAGAGGATCACATCAGTCCAAACACAAAAAAACACGGACATGCAGTTCCCTGTAATTCATATTGGATGTAAGAGCCGTGGCGCGGATGACACTGGCAGGGGAGCGAGGCGCGCGTGTCGTCGCCGTACACACCAACGTGTGGCTCAGCGGATGGATGAGTTTGGATTACATATCTTTCTTCAGCTCGAATCTGAAGTGGTACACATAAACGGTCCTGATGGGGGTTTAGTATGTGTGGCAAGCTCCTCGCTGTGTGTGTGTGTGTGTGTGCCTGCATGCATTTTTGTCAGCGCAGACTACATTTCTGGTTATGTAAATACGTGCCTTCATGCAGATAGACGGGGCTTCCTGGAATATACACAACCCCTGTACAGTTCAGAGGCTTTGGGATGGTGCGGAAAAACAAAAGCAAAAACAGCGTCACGCTCAAGACAAGCGATTTATCTCCCCGGCTTGCCCCCCCTCCATCCCCACCCACCCCCATCCGACAGCACGCGTCAGTTCAGTGCCCAAGATAACCAGGAGGCAGCGGAGGCGAACCGAGGGTGCTTACCGTCTCTCCGCACCACCACGGGGGTTGGAGAGCTGAACACTGTGGTGTTGGTCATCATGTTTCTCACCGCACACGTGTAGTTCCCCGCATCCGAGGCTTCAACTTTGGCTATGTACAAGTTGCCCGTCCTCTGAGAGATAAAACGGCGGGCGTCCTGTTGCAGGAAGCTCCGCTGGCCGTTGAAAACCCATGAATATTTGATCTCTGAAAAAGACAAAAGGTGAATAGAGGAACAGATACACCTTCCTGTGACATTCCTAAAATGACATTAGAACCTGCATGGGAAGGGATCTCTTCACAAATAAATTCTGAGATATTTTATTTCTCTGCCAAAAACATAGATATAAGATGACATTACAGAAGAAGGCTGGGGATGTTTTATATTTCTGTCAACAATCCCACAAAAACCATCAATGAACTGTAAAATGGCAGTTAGAGTGATTAAGTTAGTTCATGAATGAGATTTTGAAGGGCTTTAATTTTGAAATGCTACATCAGAATGTTCTGGTTTCTGTCTGAGTGACACCTTGAGGTGGTCTGCTATTAACCTGTCGTGAAATTATTTTGTAACTATGAACCATTTTCTCTAAAATCTAATCTGAAATTAGACAAATTGATTTGACGTTAGCTCATGAATATTATGAGATTTTGAAGGGATTTTGAATTTTGAAATGCTACATCAGAATGTTGTGGTTTCTATCTGAGCTTCTTTAGCGAAACAGAATATGTGGGTTTTAATTACAAGAGGGAGTTAGACAAATTGTTGAGGTTTCTAAACACACACTTCATCCCCCTGATATCGCTCTGCTGGCTACCACAGCCCACAAGTTGAGGATGAGTCATCACAAAATAGACGAATTCAGCAACCGCTACAACGATCAACCACGGTGCATTCGTCTGAGAGTCACCAGTTAATACGGGTTCCGTTTTTGGAACAATGTTTACTTTGCAGTCATTAGGTGGCCATGTTAGAACAATTAACGTTATATTTCAGTTAGAATCAATTTATTCTGCAGGACCAGCCACAGCCTCTAACATTAGCTAGTTAAGCTAGCAAGTTGAAGTTTGCCACTACCAATGGAGCAGTTGACAAGTGCTTTGGTTCTTCTACAGTAACGTTACACTGTAGAGAGAGTAATGGCGTCTTGTTTACTCTCGGTATTCGTGTTTAATAGATTACATATATCAGCCAGACTCTTGTACCGGACGTCATGTTCCTTTGTTACACTCTTCACAACATTGGCACTGATGTTTTGTCGGCACTGAAGTGAATGTGAGTCAATCACGCATATAGTATTAAAAAATATATATTACTCTACATTTGAAAATACTCCACAATAAATGTACTAGCTACTTATGTTTGAATAACATTTGAAAAAGAAATTGCAGTGCTCAGCTGTTTTTGAAAATGACTTTGTTTTCATAGAAATAAAGGATATATTTGTGACCTATTTTTTAAGACAGGAAGTATGCATTTGCTTGGGACGGAGTCTGGAAGTCGAAAAGCACTGAGAGATGGATCGAGGTTGAGTTCAGCCAGACTGTGTGAAACAATGCAGCCCCCTCATCCTTTTGAATTGGACTGCTGTGTTAAGGTGTGGACACGCAGGGGTACATCCATGGTGGATTCCTTTTTTGATGTGAACAATGTAATTCTGCTGTTTATATCACAGGAGAAGAAATGATGTTATTCAGTTTTTTTTTGTTGTATTATAAACAGCTTTGTAGTGTTTTGGCTTTTATCGTATCCGCCTTTAAACTCATGGAGCTATTAATCAAGCCAGTGTTCCTGGATTGCATTTCATTGTCTCACTGGTACCTGAAACAACACGCCCCCACCAAATCCACCCCTTGTGTTGTTGTTTTTGTTTTTCACCACGGGGCTGTTTTTTGGTCTGAATACCCAGTTTAACCGTATCTGCTTTGGTCTTTGCATATGATTTTTCAACAACAACAAAAAACATAGACCAACTGGTTTGGTGTCACAGTAAATTCAAGCAAATATGGAATTGGTCACAAGGTCACATGTGTGCTGTATTACTTTGTCGCATTCTGTGTTAAAGATTTTGCAGGCAGTATGTATTTTTGCCGATCTCCAACTCTTGTCACACAGATTAAAGAGGAGGGTTCATGTCAAAATAAAGAATGGAAAGGAGTGATGAGAAGGCCAATGTAGCAGTGTAAAACACACACACACACACACACACACACAGCAAGAGAAAGAGAGAGGGGCAGAGATGTCTGCAGGGGCCCGCAGAGTGAACTTGGCTATTAGCCCAGCCCTCCTGTATCAGACACATGGCATTCTGCTGTCAGCCCTTTTGACTGGGCAGACGGTAAGAAGTCCCACTCGCTTCCTTGAGGGAAAGCAGTGAATTAAAATCATTACGGGGGAAAGTCAGGGGCAGAAACTGACGGACCTTTCATGATTAGGAACTATCAGAGACTGGGTCTGTTTAAGAGCTAGCAGTCTCACAGCAACAGAGGACTTGCAGGCACATAATCTCATGTCCTCTCTGTACGGCTCCTTTTCAGACCACTTACCTATTGATTGCCCAGAGACGCTTTGCATGATCCCTCTTTTACCAAGGTGCATCACTGTGTGCTCCTCGAGTGGCGCAATCAACAAGCATTAAAGAAGCTTTTGACATAATTTTTGACACAATTTTTGACACAATTTTTCAATTTTAAAACACCTCAAGCTAGCATTATCGTGTAGCGCAAATCCCATCACATGTGTGACAATGCTGTGTTTAAGAGGCAAAATGAAGAGATGGAGGCTTTGGAAAGGGGGAGGAGAGTGGAGGCTGGAGGGCAAATTGTTAAAGTGTGGATTCCCACGTGGCCGTAGGATTCAGCTGGCAACAGAGAGCGGAGAAAAGGCTGCAACGCTGGCGTGAAATTGTGCTGGTGGGCACCGGATGGCTGCAGGAGTGCGGACCACTTTGAGGGTCTGCTAATCAGCAGCGCACAGACATGTGAGCCGACTCGCAGCTGTGCCACGAGGATAAACGCTTCCCTGGCCACAGCAGCCACCGGCAGACTTTATTTCCCGCAGATAACCTGCTCACCTATGAGAAAAAAACAACTAAAAAGACAGTTGGGGGAAGTGGAGCGCTGGAGACTCTATAGATGACAGCGTGGTCACAGATCATATGGGCTAGAAAAGTGAGCTCAAGGTTAAGAAGTACCAGGCTATGAACTATAGATGTGAAGGCAGGGGTCCGGGCAGGTAGAGCGGTGGCTGAGCATGAAAAAGAAGGAAAAAGTCTGACAGATAAGGAGAAAACAGTGTGTCAGAGTTGGAGAGCAAGAGCAGCAAAAAGAGAAGGTGGGAAGGTATAACAAAGAAAAAACAAAAGAGACACGGCAGTGTTACAGGGAGATAATAAGCAGCCGAGTGAGGAACAATAAAGACTGCTGAGGCAAGCAGGAGTGCGAGACCGCGGCAGACAATGCAGAAGAGTTAGCGCTGTACCTCCGTAATGGGGTGGGGGGCCGCAGAGCAGAACCACGGCTTGACCCTCTCTCACCGACACCGTGTTCCTTGACTTCCTGCTGAAGTTCTGCAGAACTGTTGAATATGAAATGAGAAAAAAAAATAAAAAAATAGACAACCTTTCAGTGTTTGACAGCTGGAATGACTTTAGAAAAAGGTGACGACGAGGAAAAGGGCATTTCAGTCTGCAGAATTACTTCCCCCGTCTGTTCGCGTTGCTTACAAGTCAGACCCGGGAGTCGCTCGTTAATATCGCAGCACGAGCCGGAGATCTGGTCGAGGGTGCACCAAAGTGCTTGAGAGATTACTTTCGCCTTTAATTAAATGCTGCCGTGCGGCGTGAGAGAATAAACAGCGGGGAAGACATATCAATGCCAAAGTCTTATAAATACCAGACGAGTCCCAGGAGGGATCCTTCAAATATCAGCAGTGGTCAAATCAGAACTCGACTGATAAAAGAATTAAGACATGGCGGCTCTCATTCCTTCAGACCAGTGCGATTGACATTCAATCCGAGATGGCGCTCTGTGATACGAGGGCGGGATCGAAGAGAATAAACTATTGACAATAAGACAATTATGACATGTGACAATCAAAACTACTTTTGTGCCCTTTAAACACAGAGCCCCTCCCCACGCCCGTCGTGATGCAGTGGCAATTTGGGATCCCTGTGGAGAGTTCTCCTCAGAGGGAGCTTTTTGTTGTTGTGTGGATGTGCAGCGTTTTAAATATGAATACGGTAGAACAAATATACTTTGTGGACGTGTCACCGAGATACCAAACCAGCACAGTCAAGGAATAACCTCAGTGTGCCAGTCTGTTACCACTGTTACTACTATAATCTGATATTAAACAAACAAAAAAAAACAATGATACAATAAAAAGCCAACACTATAAATGTATAACCCAGTTAGAAGGCAAATAAGGTTAATGTCTAGCATCTTAGCATGCTAATACTACTATGTTTTCCCATTAGGAGTGTATCGTTAGCATGTTAATGTGCAATGTTCGACCAAATTACTTACCCAGACACATTTGGGGTTTCCTGCCATGAAACATTTGATAAGTGGAAAATGTTTCTGTTGTAAATGTTAGCATGAGCCGGCGGCTTGCAGCTCACGGTGATAACGGCGCTAACGAATGTAAAAGTGCTGACAGAGCGTACAGTGTTAACCTGGAGGGGTGGACCGGAGGCTGGATGCCACACTTCGGCAGCGATGCCATCGGTCGGGATGACGCTATCAGCTGTGGGGCAGTCACTCACATGCACCAACATGCACTAAAGACACACACACGGCCTGCCCAGCTATGTCAACAAAGGAAGGAGAAACTCAGATAACAACACACACAGAGGGAGAGCGACTACATCCTCTGCTCGGGTAGACTTTACTGCACTCTATCTTTACGTAGCAAACAGCTGTTTGCTCCTGTGGATCCCGTATATCGCACCTTCAATATTGTCATTCTATTAAGTCGCGCACAATTTCACAAATTAAAAAGGGAAGAAAAGCGAAGTTTCATGTCAGTAACATGTACAGGAAATACGAAAATCAGACTCTACTCACAAGCAAACTGGAATTTCGCTTCCCTGCTGACAACGGTCCCAAAAGTGTTGGTGGCGATGCACTGATACACTCCTCCATGATCGATGACATGGGGATTATTGATCAACAGGTTCCCCTCCACAAGGCTGTAGTTAGGATCTGACTGTGTGTTTATTTCACTCCCATCCATTATCCACCTGTAGAGAAATACCAAAAGAGGTTTCCTAGGTCTGCTAATACTGTGATTCCTCGTCATCTTTGGGAAAATAAATCCATACAGTCACACAGCCTGGTATCATAAACACTGTAGTCTCACATATTAGACAGTCAAAGGGCGGTAAAAACAGTTACCTATAATGCGGAGGTGGGTTTCCCTTTGCTTTGCAATTAATAAACACCTGCTTATCATCAGCGCTGAGGGGGAAAATACTGTCACTAGGCTCCTGGGTGAAGACAGGACCATGGCGCGTATTATCTGTAGGGGAAAAAAAGCGCATTAGCCGTACAACAATACAGTACTCAGCATGTGACACTGAATTAATGCAAAAATAATTCACTCGGTACTCAAAAAACTGTCTTTAAACTCTACAACCAAATAATTAGCTGCCAACATGGCTCTTCTGCGTTTCATAAACCCTCTTGCGCACATGTCACGAGGCAGATAATGCACTGTGATGAGAGAGCAATTAAGTAGGGATAAGCCTGTCCTATACTGGCTAAATGGCACACTTCAACACGCGAGCCGTGACGTTCGTTATGATCATTCACAATCAGGAAACTTATTCAGAGAAGTCATTTGATCAGCGTAAACACAGTGCTGTTACAGGACAAGGCAAATAGAAGCAACTTTGACTCATTGATTCATTTTGAACCCAATGAATTAGTATTGCTAAGCCTTTATACATGTACCATTCTTGCACAATACATTTTCAGTCTAGTTTAATACTACTTAGTATTTGAAAAAAACAAAACAAGTGTTCCTGTCTTCTCATTTCTAGCTGTTTAGCGTTCTAACTGTTGCTAGCAGACTATATCAGCTGTAGCTACATAGCTAATTAAACAATTCCCGTCATCGGAATAGTACTCAGTAAATGATATGCTCCCTTCTTGGGTTAGGTTAAAACTCTAGTTAGCCAGAAATGCTAACCGTTGCAGCTAATGTCAGAGCAGATAAACACACTTTTAATCAACTCTTGACACTTCTGCTCGTGTATTTTTACTTTTTGAGAGACATAGAGAGATAAAAGGTCACCGCTCTCCTAGTCTGACTCACCAGTTGTGGACTGTGGCTATATAAGCGGCTGTGTATCTCACGCAAATGTCACTTACTTCTGGTGTTAAGTGTTACTAAAAGGTGCTTTAAGTGGGAGCGACAGCCGGCACTCTTTATTCAAACTCACACTTTGAATCCGGCTCACTGTGTGCACTTAAACGTACATGCACAGAACCAAAACACAGACAGAACCGCTGTAACATATGCCAAGAGTAATTAGAAACATTGTCAAGTAACCCAGCTGGCTAATTGAGTTACACTTTATTCCATTATGACCGCAATGCAAGGAGGATAACTTGGTTAAGGTGTTTACATGGGAGCTGCAATATCTTATTCTGGATGTAATCTGATCATTGGAGAGCCTGTGAAGCTGTTGAATGTATGCATGTTGTTTGTGGGTCTGCTCGGTCGAGCTTGTTGTCTTGGTAAGTTTCATCCAAGCGATCAATACACAGGAGTAATTAACCAATGTAGCACTAATTACTGCCATGAAATCTAACATTTCTTCAATGGACGCGCACTCACACACTGGTGTCCACCCCCCCTTTCCCGCCCCCGTTCCTCTGAGCCCCTCGCCGGCATTGCTCTTGCAAAAAATGGTTCATTTGTCTTTCGCCGCACTTCTTTTTGTCTCTAACCTTGACGAGGACAAAGAGTGCTCCCTCCCGTATCATCATCGCTATCATCATCAACCTAATGAGAGTGGGAGTCTTTGCTTCAGGTAAGGGCCCCGTTTCCCCCGGCCTCTGAGGGAAGCGCTTCATTCCTCTATTATTTTTTTACCCTGGTTGCGATGTCCTTTAAATTAAACAAATTAATGAGCCCTAAATAGCCGGGCTATTTCACCAGGGAAATGATCGGATGGTTCTGTGTGTATGCTCGAGAACAGGCCTGCCCTGTAAACACACTGACTGCACTGACCGCTAGCATACACACAAACACACACACACGCGTACAAATTAACACTTAATTAGTTTTCATGGGAGTGCATGCAAATTTGAGCTCACTGGCGGGTATGTATGTGGTGAGGTGCATGCTGCTATTTGCATATCCCTTCATTCTTCTCTCTTATGTGTGCAGGCTGCATAGATATACCGCAGTGAAACTGCTGACTTGAGACGAGATGCTGAATCAATGGAAACGGCAGCATAAATAAGACAACAAACCCCACTCCATGAGCTGTATACATTTAAATGTATTTTTATGAAGAATAAACGGTTGGCTTAAGATCAGCATACACAGCGTATCCATCATATGTTGACATTAAATCTCACTCGGCCGTCTGGGCTGCACGGGTTACCGTATCCAGACGTTAAGTGAGCGCTCTCGGAGAGATTTGAACTCCTCAGCTGTAGCTCACACAGGTATTAGACGAGCGCCTCGGCACACGGCGGAATCTATGCTGCTGAGAACGGTGTACGGAATACATTAGCGCTGAAGAAAAGGGCCCGTGTTGGATTTTTTTTTATAGTGCTTACCACATTTCACGTAAGTGGCAGTAGTTGGACATAAAGCGGGGAAATTGCATAATAAAACAGGGGGGCACAGGAAAAAAAAAAAGACCAGAGTGTGAGCTCTCGTACGGTAGCTCTTCAAATGTAAATCCGACAGTGAGTCACATTTATCAGAGAGGTATCTAAAGAGAACATGTTCAACTGTGGCTGCCGTTAAAGGTTAAGATACAAATGTAACTATAACAGTCAATCTTTAGAATGGCACAAGGCAGTTTCACATAATCCTGAGACGACTTCATCCCTCCATTGAAAACTACACCACTAAATTCAAACCTCTGCCATGTTTTTGCCATGTTTGCACATTTTTATAAAAACTTTCCCCGTCTACAAAAGCTAAACGCCTTCTGAGACTACCGCTCCCTTTCAAATTAAATTAACCTGCATGGGAACAAGGCGAACCCTCCCTGTAGGGAGATGTATGCACATCAGGTGTGTGTGTGTGTGTGTGTGTCGTATGAAGGCGGCTCTACTTGGCGTCTCACCAGCCAGGCACTCTTTGAGTGACAGAAGGATTAGCAGTTCCCATGGCAACAGCATCTTCAATTTCCAAGGTCAAAGATTCTCCTTCTTCCCATCCAGTCCAGGAGAGCGGAGGATATTTCCCGGGCAGACGCTGCTCTGCTTGGCTCTGGAAGGAAGAAAAAAAAAGGAGGGCACACTAGCGTGAGGAGATGCCATCTACAACAAGACTTCTTGAAAAGAAAAGAAAAAAAAAAGAAAACAAGCTGGAACTCGTGGAAATCGTTGAGCCATTAATAATTCATTCAACCAAATAAGCCGAGCCAAGATCCCGTGCCGAAGGGCCAGCTAGCAGCTGATACCAAGGAGCTGATGTTTAGTGTACACACACCGCTGCTACGCTATCTCCTCGTGGCAAGTCAAGTATTCAAAAAATAAATAAAAAAGGAAAAAAATGTGGCAACAGATGAGCAGCGCTGCATGCCAACGATATGCTAAGCTTTCTAATAACTGTTCAACATATTTACTTCGGTAAAATGTGTGATGTATTAATGTACAGCATATATCACAGGGAAAGCTAATGAATGTAGACAGACTGAACTGAAGGAGAGATACAAAATAAAGATCCCTCTGTGGGAAAATCACTCAACCCACTTAAAAAACATGTTAACAGAAAGAACCTATCTTCCACGGACCACGATGCCAGGAACTATTGCCATCGATTCACAACTACAGAATGAAAGCTTTGATAATTTGGCCACCCTTGTTGAAAGCAATTATAGGTAAGACAATGCAGCTCATGCTGTTTCGGTTGCAGTCTGTAGGCGGACACATCGGGGTGTTTGGGATATTACTTCTGAGCCCATTGTTCACAGCTTCTAAAAATCGATATTTGAACCCACAGAGAACAATCAGCTCTGAGGAGAGTGAATATTGGACTTCATCGGGGGGGCAGTACCATGTGCTGCTTCAAGTAGCAGCAGTCTGATATCTTGCTATCGTCTCGTATGTTGTTGCTGTATGTGTATTCAGTACAGGATGTTCCGGTACGTGGTTCTGGTAAACCCTGAGAAACCAAATTATTACTGTTGCGTTTACCCAGACAGACTCACTTTGCCCCAAGGGTCACTTAAGCAAAATGTCAGGAGGCAAATTAATTAAGCGACATAAATAATATTTGTTGTATGAGATCAAATTAATCGACACTCTTTTAATTCGTACTGCTACTATTTACTAAATAAATCAAGTTGGCACAAGGAGTGACACTTGACATTGGTCATTGAATTGCCTGTTTTCAACCTTTCGACGTTCAAGGTTGGCATTTCGGCTGTCGATTTTGGATTTTGGGCGTCACCATCTTGGTTTTTTGTTCAACTAGAAGTGACACAGGAGGGTGGAGCTAAGTACAACAGTAGGATATTTTTAGGCAACCAAAAATGTTACAATTAACTTTCATGAACTGAAAACACACAGTGAAAGATCTTTCAACAGACAAAAGATAACGCCATGGTAGCGACCTGTCAATCACAAGGTAGCCCCCTCCTAAAGCATACTCTGCTTTATGGTCTATTTGACTCTAAATGGACCATCATTTTCTAAATGAACATCATGCTGTGTTGAAGAAGACCTGGAACTAGAGATTGAGACCATAAACACATGTTTACAATGTTTACTGAGGTAATAAATTAAGTGAGTAGTCATTTTCTCATAGACTTCTATACAACCAGAGGAGTCGCCCCCTAGTGGTCAGTAGAGAGAATGCAGGTTTAAGGCACTTCTCAGACCCGCAGGTTTCCGACTGGTTTATCGTGTTTATCTGCTTTATGGGATGTTGACATGAAAAGTGAACGCACGGTCGGAGTCTCTGTTCATGCCCTTATGAATGCATAATCAATATGTTTGTTCTGCATATTAATTATTAATACATGAAAATAAATGAATAAACATTAAATGCCACAAAATGTGTCTTATTATCATTAAAAAGTGAAAATAATGACACAATTATTTTGATGAAAAACACCTGATTGAGCCCACATTAAAAAATGGAACGAGTATTTATACGTATAGCTCTCACAGAGAAGAACACACAATGTTAAAAATAAAATACAAAAATGTCTTTTTACAGCATTTCTTCTTACTTTTCTGTCTGTTGCCGACTGATGGATGCAACAAAACAGGAAGAATCACCGCTGGAGGAATGGAGAAGAAGCATTGGCCGTATAGAAGGCGAAGTAGATTCATTCTGCTCTCCATTATTTATTCTAAGGGAGCACGATGCTGATCACTCAAGCTTCATCTTGTCAGTCATCATTATCGATTTGGTTTCCACTTTCTATTTCCACCCCAAACTTCTGCCTCTTTGTTTGTCCTCCGGCCCACAATCTTGTCATAAGTCTCAATCAAATATGGAGGCATGGATCAATAACTGGAGATATGGTTGATGGCTTTCCTTATGAGACTTACTGTGTTGATATATCGGCTCGTTCTGGAGAAACTTTATCTGTGTAACAAGATTCAACAGCATTCTTTTGACCTGCTGTGGCCGGTGAGCTATGCAATGCTCTTTCAATAAACTGTTCATTGATTAAGACGCTGGATGAATAGGCGTGAAGTGAATCACACAAAGCTGCGTACGGCAGTTACACGGTTAAATGCATGTTTTTTTGTTTTTTTTTCGGCCTCTCAGAAACTTTCAAATCAATGCGAAATGTTTTCCAGACATGTTGTCAAAACGGGATTTCTACGATCGATGCTGTTATAGGCCGGCACCTGTAAGTAATTCCAAATCAATATGTTTTCAAATTTCCAGACGTGCCCGTCAAGAGCCTGAATTGAAATGATTTAGGAGCTTGTGTTGAGTGTTTACTCCTCCCTAAAGCATGGGGCGGATCTCCATCGCACTATTTGACGTATAACTTCTAGGTAATGTCTACATTAATATCCACATAATTCATTCACGCAAGTGAATCCGAGACGGATCATTTGCCGATACGAGGACGCTCGATGAGGAATTACAGCCATTGGTATTTAGTGGATTGAGAGGATACGGGAACCATTACAGCCCAATGCAGAGGTTGTCTAACAAGCCCCCCAGCAGCCTTGAGTCATTAGTCTACCCGCTCTGCCCAGTGATCAATGTTAATCTACGTTCGCTGTAGTCAGCTGTCCGCTCTCACTTTCGAGCTGATCAACTTCGTTTCGCCGGCTCGCGAACGCGCTCGTTTGTCATTCAAAGTCAGACACGAGGAGCCTGATTGCATTCAGCCCATAGACAGTAGCTGTTATGCATATCGTGTGCAAAATGCAGAGGCCACAATCCCGTAAAGTGTATCAGCGAGGGAGCTGGCGCCGCGTTCCTCTGTCGAATAGCACAACTCTGTTTTAATGATGCATGGGCATCCGTGGCATCCTTTGGGGAGGATGTGTTTCTTGGTCACAGTCCAGAAATTTAAAGTAGTTGCTTGTGATCCCCATGATTAATTTCTATACCATAGAAAAAAAATAAAATACAACGGTAATAATTCTTGTGCCCGCGGATGGTGGTCGCAGGTGTTGGAAATACCAAATGGGATGAGGCCAAGCTAATGGTGCCTGCGAGGGAAACTATCTGTCAGGGATAATCCTAATACTGTAACACCTCCCCACCACAGATAATGTGCTTCCCCCGCCTCTCTCAGTAGCCCGTGATATTGAGATAGCTGTGGAGAAAATGATTAGAGGGGGGGGGAATGGATATTGACACGGATAGATGTATGTATCCAGAGTGAAGTATTGCCCGGTTTAATGTTCAGCGATGATGAGCTTCTCACTCTGGAATAGCCAAACTGGGCTATGAATAAAAGGGTGTCCTGTGAACTCTGGTGAGCCGGGTTCCACATCATTACACTCTGTGTAATTGGCTGAACATGTGACTCCAGAAATTAACTTGTGAAAGGTAATCAAGGCTTTTGTTATTTCCCTTCTCTTTAGGGGGGCATACCAATCTGCTTCAAACATAGGCCCCATGAACACATCAACCGAACGCCATTGCGCCTTTGAGCCCCGCCCCTCCCCAACAGCCTGAAAACAGAGCTTTATACGTAGTAATTGTTCAATAAACCGACGCTCTTATTAAAATGTATGGGGCTCAAGTTTCATCAGAAGTGCCAGGCTGTGTAAACATCCAGAAAAGCCTCCTGATCTCGCATCTTAAATCCAGTCAGCCACGAGGGAGCATGAGCGGCGCTGCAGACGGGGAAGCTAACCGTCACTCACGGTGCAAGTGCATATTATTACTCATCGACTAAGAGTTGGAGGAGCATATTGAAAGCTATCATCCTGTCAATCCAATAGAGGCTCCGCAAACACAACCGTACATGAAGTTTGGGCGTGGAAATGAATACTTACTAATGCTGAAAGTGAGAAGACACAGAGAACCTGAGCAGCTTCTGAGTTGTATCATTTGCATACCTATGTGTGTCACTGTAAATTGTCCATTTCTATTGTTTTTTTTTCTCTTCAGTTTGCAGATCATGGATGGATCATATAGCGTGTGTCTTTGTTTTCAGCACAGCTAAGACTAAAAACGCACTGCATTACCGAAGCCACACTCTGACGCTTTACAGGGACGGTGCCCGACTGTCACTGTGTCAGCGCGGAGGGAACACAGAAAGGGCGCATGACATGAGTTCGTGTTGAACCTCAGATTCTGGTGAATCATGTCCTCAGAGATTGCTGGAGACGTCTGGAATACGATGCTAAGCCTGCTGCTCCTGCGACCCCCCCCCACCCTCTGGATAATAGATGAGGAGTACAGTATAATATACTGTCAATGGCAAATAGACTATAGGCTACTTGTATTGTGTACTTTTCTAGTCCTCCGACCACTCAAAGCGCTTTAACACTACATCATTCACCCATTCATACACTGATGGCAGGGGCTACCATGCAAGGTGCCATCAGCCCATCAGGACTCTAACTAACATGCATACAACAGTCGCACTCTGTAGACACAGCTATGGGAGCAACTTGGGCTTAAGTGTCTTGCCCAAGGACACATCGACAGGGACTAGCGGAGCCGGGGATCAAACCGGCAATCCTCTGATTGGCGTGACGCGGTCCATCCGACCTTGCAAAGTAAACCGATGTGGTTCTCTCGCAAACTTGCCACTGTATTCTCAGAGAATATAAAAAAAAGAAAATCATACATTTGTGAGGTTTTTCTGCCTCGTAAATTTACGACTTTAATCTTGGACCAGCTCGTTTATTTATTTTTTTATACCTAAAATGGCCCTAATGGAATTCCATAATGTCTTGCTTTATTTATTTAATATTGAACAATTCGGGGTTCCATGTACCTGTAGCATCGGTCTAGTTTACATCTGTCTGAGGATATATTTTACTCTTATATACAGCCTATAATCACATATTATGTTTTGAATTCATGAATCCACAATCAATTGAATAAACAGCCATGATCACACTCGTTTATTGCGTGGAATAAATCCCGGAGCCCAGCAGGCATGTTTCCCACTGATTGAGTACTCACAGAGTAAGTGGAATCTGCTCGCTCTTTCAACCACAGCCTCGACACTATCAGCCCTTTGGCCAGCTAAAAGAGAGAGAGAGACAGAGAGACACAGGAAGTATTGAGAGTCCTTGTAGTAATAGTCTAAAGACGGTCAGAGTTCAGTAAGTGTGCAGCAGGAAGGGAACAATCTGCAAGACACTGCAGGTTTTAAGCCGCTCATTCAACATAAAAATGATGGAACAGGACGGACATTAACAAATATTGCTCTCACTGATGAAAATGCAGATCGAGGTTTGGTTAACAAATATTCAAATATGCAGAAATAATCTTCAGGTAAACAGGGTTGTAGATAAATGGATTATTGTTTTGTTCTGTGCAGGACCGGTTTCATGTTCATGTTCCATCTAAATTATGATTTTACTGGCTGGCAACAGTGCTGTTAAACCAACAATTTATCCTTCGACCACTATTTGTGCATGGGCTCATTCAGTCAGAATTAAGAGATCAAACAATCACTTCAGGGCTTCGCTACCACGGCGTTTTCAGCTCTGGGAGTTGTCCTTGTTTTCGTCTTACTTTAACGCTTTCACAGTTTGTTTTCAGTTAATAATAGAAGTCAATAGTAACACTTTGGTCCCCTAGAAATGTCTTACGTTCGGTTCTACTTAGCTCCACTCTCTCGTGTCACTTCTGGTTGCAAAAAACCAAGATGGCGACGGCCAAAATGCCGAACTGGAGGCTTCAAAACCGTAGTGCCCATACTAATGGATGAGCTCACGGAGACCATGTCCACTTCTTATAAAGTGTGCAGTCTATGTAACAAACAACAACAAAAAACTATCTCTACAAATTGACACTAAAATAGCTCACAACAGAAAACACAACGTGATTCAGAAAGTAGCTATGTTACTAAAATGCTCCTGGGAAATGAAGTAAAAAATAATTCAGTGATGCTACTTCTCAACACAGATGAACAGTCCTGTCTTGTTGTACTGCTTTTACCAACGCAAGGTAAGGTCCAGTTCAACATGAGAAGGAGTAGAGCTGCCCCGACGCGTAGGGTCCGTGTACGTTTTGATAGTTAGTTTAATGGATTAAATCCAAAGCGGCTGTCCCCGGTTGGCAGGGAGGACGAAACGAAGACTCGAGTCATTCCTTTGTCTCTTCCATCCTTGATCTAAGACACTAAACAAACTATTAAAACTAACTGTGGCACTAACACAAAAAGTGGCTGAACTATAGGCGAAGATAGCAGTGTTATTTTGACCGGCTCTCAGAGTCTCAGCAGTTTGGTTGAATTGGGCTTTTTCTTGCCGGGCTGTTAGTCAGTGGTTGGCTTTTTTTAACAGCCGACTGTAAATCCAGATTGTATGGAACCAGTAGCAGAGGTGATTACTGCCCCGTATTTCGTTGGAGCATGTGGCATGACACAGTGCACCTTTAAACCGATTGGAGTCAATAAGCAGGGGCACTATAGGCTTCATAATGATTCCTAGCTCCCCATTTAGCATCCTACCTTTTCACCGGGCTCCATTGTGTCAGCAGTTGTGACCCATTTCAGGGGCTGCCTCCTTCCAAAGAACGAGGACCGCAAAAGGTGCAGCCTTCACAAGACTGAAGGCTACTGTGAGCAGCTGCACCCCCCCCAGCCCGCGCTCTTTGTAAGGAGGCAGCCCCTGAAATGGGTCACAACTGCTGACACAATGGAGC